CTAAACTTTAAAAAACTTGTCAAAACAAGTGTTTTAAAAACCTTTTTAACAGTCGATATGATAATTGGCATTTCTTTGACAGATAATTGGTGACCTCTGTAAGATGATAAAAATTGCGAATTGCAGATTTGATAATTAAAGTTGTTTTATTTCCTAATATTGACAGATATGAAAGACCAATTCAAACTAATGGATACAGTAATAATTGAGTAAGTAGAAATGGATGAGAAAAAATCTTTTAAATGATTGAAAAATATAGAAGTTATCTTTGAATGTTTAAACTATCACATGAAAATAAAAGGTTTTTGTTATTATTAGGTTGAGTTTGTAGGAATAACCCTGTTAGTGTATCTGTCGATATACCCATCTGTCTGTCTGTCCATAAACTATTTAAGTGCAACTCCGCCTTAATTGATAGACGGATTTTGATGCAAATTTATATAATTTTAGAACACTACCCAAAGTTATGCATATAAAAATATAATTCTGGTCCATTATGTTGAATTTGAGGAAATTTATCATAAATGGCTGGATATATAGTGAACCCACTTTACAATGCTGTACAACACTACCTGAGGATGAACTCAAAGGAATCTAATCCCTGTCCAGGTTCTCAATGGGGAAAAAATTAAATTTATTTGCTTCAATATATTTCTGTCTGTCTGTCAGTCTATGTGCCTTGTAGAGCACTACCCAAAGTTATGCATATAAAAATATAATTCTGGTCCATTATGTTGAATTTGAGGAAATTTATCATAAATGGCTGGATATATAGTGAACCCACTTTACAATGCTGTACAACACTACCTGAGGATGAACTCAAAGGAATCTAATCCCTGTCCAGGTTCTCAATGGGGAAAAAATTAAATTTATTTGCTTCAATATATTTCTGTCTGTCTGTCAGTCTATGTGCCTTGTAAGCACAACTCCTTCTTGATGTCTAATTTCAATTGGTATCGATGAACAACTATAACATAGTTGTTAGAGGATTGCTGCTCACAAGGAAGCTATTAAACCAAGAGTTCCAAATGGTGAAGTTGAAATCATCCCTTCGTAAATTTTACGGACGCCATTACGAGTTGGTTGATCGTTATGGAATAACCGTTTCACAGATGATATCGGATATGTTCCTTATGTCGTAACTACAATACCCTTCCCTTTTCACGAATGTGACCTACCGAGTTAGACTATTTACTGGATTTGTAATAACATAAGCAACACGACGGGTGCCACATGTGGAGCAGGATCTGCTTACCTTTCCGGAGCACCTGAGATCACCCCCAGTTTTGGTTGGGTTCGTGTTGCTTAGTCTTTAGTTTTCTATGTTGTGTCATATGTACTATTATTTGTCTGTTTGTCTTTTGATTTTTGGCCATGGCGTTGTCAGTTCGTTTTCGATCTATGAGTTTGACTGTCCATCTGGTATCTTTCGTCCCTCTTTTGTAGAACGCTATCAGTGAATATGCATAAAAGAATATAATCCAAGGTTAGCATGTTAAAAAGGGAAAACCAGAATTTATGCACTTCATCAGTTTGATGCTGTCTAAATCTTCACATGAAAAGGGTTGTATAGGAAGGTTATAAGAGACATGTGATATTGTATTTGCATCTCATATTCAGAACCTTTCTGCTTATGTGTAAATGAAAAAGATTAAAAAAAAAGTTCAAATTTTATTAGATTATTGATATTTCATATGCTGTATTATTACCATTCATACATTTTTTATTCCGTCCTTCCATCAGTCCATTCGTCCGTCTTTCTGTCCGTCCCATTTTAGTTTCCTCACTCTAACTTAAGTTTTTCTCATCTAAATTTTATGAAACTCATACAAAATGTTAGGAACCAAAACTAGCAAACATAGTTCGAATTTGGGCAATGAGTCACTAACCGTTCTAGAGTTATGACCCTTTTTCAACTTTTTAAAATTGCAATGCCTGAGCGGGAGCATTCGTGTCCGTGGAAACATTCTTTTTCTATGTTCGTTTGAATTGTTAAAAGATGCATGTTTTTCTTAATAGCACCATGTAAGAAATACATATCATTAGTAATGATATTTGCTCGTGCTTAGCATCTATATCTCTGTTTAATGGAATATTAGAACTGGACATGAAAGTAAATTCCCATAATAGCAATGTTTGTTTTTTGTGTACTACTTTCAATTTTAGTGTTTTAGAAAATATGCTGAATATTGGAAGAGAATATCATATCATAAAACGATGAAAATAAAAAGTGTAAACATGTTCATGTTTTAGCCCAACTCGCCCATTATGCTAGTTTTAGCTATTTGACTAAATAATGTCACAAAATACTTTTTTAGCTAACTTGGCAGCAAGCGTCAAGAGCTTTTATTATAAAAAAAAATATGTCCTACACATATCCCTTAGATTGTCGCATTTTGATCTTCTCCTCTAAAAATCTGAACCGAATGAAATCAATTTTAACAGGCAAGTAAATGTAGTTTACGAGGCCCTATTTTTGTGTATTATTGGTGTTGATTTGTAAACAAATATGGCTGCATATATACCTTTTCAAATTTCTGATCACCTGTAGTTTTTCAAACTTTTTTTGAAAAATGCTGAAAAATAAAAATAATAAAAACTTGACAGATATTGCCCCTTAAAGGTTATTAACAGGTGTTGTTACTCAGAATTCAAACTTGCGGCAAGCAAAAGCCAAAGTTTACATTGAAATCTTACGGGGAATTACACTTTGCTTTTCTTTTCACTTACAGATACACTAAATGAACAAACGATGCAGAAATGTACCTTTAGAAGGTTCTTACCAAGTGTTGTTTCTTTAATTCTAATGTTAAGTCCAATGTGGTGGCAAAAAACGGACAGATTAGTTCTATTTTCAAAGATCTTTCGACAGAACTACTGAACCGAACTTACAATAAATGTTCTTGCGAGGAGGATGTCGTAACTAAACTATGCAACAAACACAGGCATAAAACAATCACTATATACAATGTGGATTGCATTTCTGGTTGACCTTTTCTGAACTACTTATATGCATTTGAATTTAAAAAAGTTCATTTTTATTTTATTTGTCTTTTGAACAAATTCTATAAAACGTACTATTTCAATGGAACATTTTTACTTGGTGTATGTCATACTGATATATATTTATCTTACCTCCTATACATTTCTAGGAATATCATTGGTTAAAAGCGACCGCGTTGAGACTATGTATATTTAATATGGGGTTAGTCGGCGTGGTTTATTTTAATACACTGTTAGTAGTGGTGTTACGTCCCTTTATAGAAATAACACGGCGTTGAAGACAATCCGAAACGTTTCGCCCGGATAACAGATGAAGAAATTGATGATGTAACGATTGAAATAAATTCAGAAAACACATTAAAAGATAACATGTTGTTATTTTTGGCATTTGTTTTTGTATAGACCAATGGAAGTAGGTTCTTTATATTGAAAACTTGATCACTTTGATAGGTCACTAGTCTAAATGCCACATGTTAAGATAGTCGGTAAGATAAATTCTGTGTAACTAATAATATAAGAAATCTGACAATCAATTTCATATTTTTTGACAAATTTTCAATGAAATCAAACGTACACTAGTTGGTTAATTCCATCTATTAACACGTAAATGAATATGGATACATCTTTTGCAGATACAAGATGACAAGAAACCAATATATGTTCAATGTGGATTTTAATATAAGTATTCAGTTCGATCCAGGATTAAAAATATTCAAATATGAAATATTACAGAATGCAAGTTTGGCACAACCTATGTGTGATTGGAACACAGGTTTTCAAATAAATGGTGAGCAAACAGTAAAGTCATTTAATTTATGGCAATTTCTTTGTTTTCTAGTGTATATGAAAAGTATTTTCTTATAATACATGCTTAAGTGCCAATATGCCAATAACTTTCAAATAGGATGGTTAGGTCGGTGGGTTTTTTTTTGCCATGTTTTGAAATTCTTCTAAATTGCATGATTCTTACAAAGACTGGCACTTAAAACTGATAATTCACAGGATTGTGTTAGTTGATTTATCAAGTAACTTATGAAAACTTCAATTAATTTTTCATTGGTTTAGTTAACATTTTGAAATTTTAATCATGATACTGTGCCTAAAGAAATCATTGTGTTCATAAAAACATAAGTGGCAAATGAAGTTTACTTCATATTTATAAAACTATATTTCGTTAAAGATTGTGAAATTGAGTTTTAGATTAATATCATGATCTCAAGTAAATGCCTTATCGATGGTTATCATATTGGCAATCATACCCTTTATCCTTTTATCCCTTTATCCTTTTTTTATACTATTGCGATGAAATTGTAAAAGTGTAGAGTATTTCGTTACTTGAGTAAAACTCAATTAAAAGTCATATGAACCTAGCTGTTTCGTCTGAGTTATATTGATTTTATTACTGAAAAATTGTCTTAATAGTTATTGTTGACATATTGATTTAATTGACAGGTTGCATGAACGTTAGTTTACACAAAATTATTGCACGTTATTAATCTGCATGTACTAATTATCATATATTTTTCAGAATTTTCTTTAAACAAATGGTTACAGGATTCTAAAATACCAACAACCGATGTGCTTACTAAACCAATGGCATCACAACTAATTGGAACACTTGGTATTGGCAATTTAATAGATAGCTCATCTTGTGAAAGGTCACACAGTAAATATAGTCCGTCTGTTAAAGGATGGAAATCAGGTAGATAGTTTTATTTTGTTATGTATATATGGAACTTAGTATTTAATCACACTGATTACTTTGGAGCCTAGTTTTCAATTCTACCTCCACAGATAAAACTAAGGAAATGTGGTATGATTTCCAATGAGACAACTATGCACCAAAGTTCAAATAAAGTGGATGTACGGCCTTCAACAATGCAAAAGATCCATTTTGTATAGTCGGGTATAAAAGGCCCCAACATAAAAAAATGAAACAATTAAATTAGGAAAACTAACGATCTACTTTGTAACAACAGAGTCTACGAAATTTAAATATGACAGACATGACATCAAATACAACCACTGTTCTACAGGCTCCTGACTTTGGACAGGCAACATTAACAATTTGTCATGGTTAAAAATATCTGAATGCGCCAACCGTTCCCCTAACCTGGGACAGTGGTGTAACAGTACAACATAAGAACAAACAATAAAAATCAGTTCATTGATGAAAAATAAAAATAGAAAAGATTTGCTTTATTATATATAGAATTCAGCTCATCAAATATCTATATCATTTGCAACTCCTTAATGGCAGTACTTTTCAAAAGTGTAAATAAACACTAACAATGTTGACCCGTTTGGCACCAAATATTTCGGACAACAGAGCACAGGTATAGATTAAAAGGCCATTGAAACATGTTGGGTTGATTTTTTATGTCTTGATAAATTCTCATTTTCAGAATGTCCACTTAGTGTATTACCGACAAATCTGGAAATACCAGCTACATGTGTCATTCTGTCACACTGTACAGCGATAGACTGCTGTGTTGATGTAGACCTCTTACACAGATCTCTCCATGTAGTGTTTGACCTAAATGTTTGTAACAATACATTTACAGTTGGAATTGACAAATTACAGCTTGAACCAATCAACCTCACAAATATTGAATATGGTTTGTATGACTTTTTATGATTTGTTTTTGATGTTTTATATTGCAATGCTCTATTATAAATATAATGTTGCATACAATGTCCCTGAATAGCCCTGATTATTAATATTGTAAATTCAAAACATTCTAAGTTCACATCCAATTGGCAAATTGTTTACTAGATTTTACTCGACATTGTGAACCGTTAGAGAATGTATACATATATATATATATATATATATAATATTTTTTGAATTCAAACAAGCCATGATAGCATCGACAAATTTCATGTTTAGAGGGTCTTGAACATGAACATGTTACATTACCGTGTGTTTCTTTGTCCTATATATTCTCTCATTTATTTGTATTGTGGTCCTGTCATGTGATGTTGTCGTTTTGGTGTTGTGTTTGACGTTGCCATAAAAGCGGGAGGTTTGGCATGCCACAAAACCAGGTTCAACCCACCATTTTTTTCTTAAAATGTCCTGTACCAAGTCAGGAAAATGGCCATTGTTATATTATAGTTCGTTTCTGTGTGTGTTACATTTTAATGTTGTGTTTTTGTTGTGTCGTTGTTCTCCTCCTATATTTGATGCGTTTCCCTTTTAGTTTGTAACCCAGATTTTTTTTTTATCTCTATCGATTTATGAGTTTCGAACAGCGGTATACTACTTTTGCCTTTATTTATATTCTAACAATATTGCAAGGGCATTAGCTGCAAAACCCGAGACCGCCGAATTGGTTCAAACTCTCAAATTTAATGAACTTTATACTTAAACGTGATTGAGAACATTGAAATCAATACACACTGTATTGAATCGTTATAAAATATCAATATTTCGTATGTATTGCTGACTAGATGCTATCTAATTAACCATGGACATAACCCATCCAAACTATCGATGGGCATATGTGACCCGAATATAATCATAAATATTAACAGATGGATAAACATTAATATACGTGTAACACCAAAATTTTGATTTAATTGAAATGTTTGATCTCATTGCAAAAATGTAAATCATTTACATATAATCTGTTTATTAAAATGTCCTGTACCAAGTCAGGAAAATGGCCATTGTTATATCATAGTTCGTTTCTGTGTGTTTTTGTTGTGTCGTTGTTCTCCTCTTATATTTGATGCGTTTCCCTCAGTTTTAGTTTGTAACCCAGATTTGTTTTTATCTTTTTCGATTTATGAGTTTCGAACAGCGGTATACTACTTTTGCCTTTATTTATATTCTAACAATATTGCAAGGGCATTAGCTGCAAAACCCGAGACCGCCGAATTGGTTCAAACTCTCAAATTTAATGAACTTTATACTTAAACGTGATTGAGAACATTGAAATCAATACATACTGTATTGAATCGTTATTAAATATCAATATTTCGTATGTATTGCTAACTAGACGCTATCTAATTAACCATGGACATGACCCATCCAAACTATCGATGGGCATATGTGACCCGAATATAATCATAAATATCAACAGATGGATAAACATTAATACACGTGTAACACTAAAATTGTGATTTAATTGAAATGTTTGATCTCATTGCAAAAATGTAAATCATTTACATATAATCTATTTAAGATTGATTTTTTGTTAGTCGATTCAATCACTGAATCAGCTAATTTGATCTTCCTGCTGCTTCCTTCCGTAGTATCACTTTTACGCTAGACAATCGTTTTAAGCACTGTCATGCTCAGTCCATGCTGAGGGTCAAATAAAGGTTGCATGAATATGGACTAAAATAAGGTCAAATGTGTTGATTGCAAGAACAAAATTTGCAGATTGTAGGTAAAGTCGTTTTAACCAAAATAACGAATTTTATAATTTTCTATCTCATTAAATTGTCTTAATAAATGCTTTCTTTCTACCTTACATCTCATTTTGAAAGTATAAACAGGCAGTTAGGATCCTATTAAATTTAAAGGAGTTGTTTAGACTTGGTAATTATTGCAGGTATTGAATGAATTAGAATTTCCAATGTATTTTCAGGAAAGACACACCACTTCAACCTGAAAGGAGTTGCACGTATTAGGTTAGTATACTACTTGAATTGCTGATAAATTTTTTTTCTCAGTTCATTTCACGATCAGCACATCCTTGCATGCTTTATGTCAAAATCATTATATTTTGACAGTTTGAAAATATTGTCAATGCAGAGAATGTTTTTTTTTTAATTCTGGGATATACACTTGTTTAAATGATGTTCCTGTTTTCTTATAGTGAATGTTTATTAATCAAGATCCGTTCCTTACAGAAGCAATGAACAGACTCACACTTTAAAACAAAATGTTAATGGTCAAAAGGAACATACAACTATATAATAAATGAATGCTTGAGGTTTACACTTTTAAAAGAATGACGTTACTTCTATAGAACGTTGCGTAATTTGTATATAATCCAGGTTATAAGTTTGCTTATGAATCAAATTTTCCAAAAAATGTTATAATATAAATTTTAAAAGTATACAATATAAATATGATAAACCTTCAATATATAAATGAGGCTATGGTAAAGGTTGGAAGACGAATTGAAAAAATTGGTGGGATATCAATGCTATAGACGGAAAAAAAACTATTGTTTAAACCTTAAAATAGCCAATAAATAAAAAATCATTTCTTAAAATTCATACATAAATTAACAAAATTGACAAACCAGAATACAGCGCTGTCTAACACCTTGTTATCTACATAAATAATCATAAAACTACGTTAGAGTTGACCACTGATACAACCAAACTCTTGGATATGTGTTCCCTTAACAAAGCTGAAACACAGGACCTGATGTTTAGCTTCATGGGGTGAGTTTCGATTCTTTTATTTAGAAGCCAGAAACTGTTGGGTTTTTTTCTACCGCCTTCTTACTTTGCTTAATTAAGCTACTTTTTCTGAATTTGTCACCGCAGTGTAAATACTTATTCATGAATCAAAGAATCTGAAATGTTGTCTGCTTACCCTTCCGGAGCACCTGAGATCACTCCTGGTTTTTTGTGCGGTTTCGTGGTGCTCTTTTTCTGGTTTTCTATGTTGTGTTTTGTGTACTATTGTTTTGGTCGTTTTTCATTTTTGCCATAGATTCTCAGTTTGTTTTCGACTTATGAGAATAAAATGGTTACTGTATTTTTTATGATTTAGATAATATCTCTTCAAAATGCAAGTTTTTAAGTTAGTTATATTGTTTTTTTTTTTTTTTATTTACGAAGGATTCCCCCTTCATAGTCTGTAGAAATTTGTTCAATTTTGAATGAAAAGTTTTGAATGATTAGCTTGTATCTTTTTACCTTTTTAATTGAATGTGTATATGTAGACACTTTTGGTAAATATTCAAGAAAATCAATACTCTATATACCCGCATTGTGATTCAAGAAGCTTCAAACTTCTTTCATGTACTGTTTGGTTTCAAATTGCTTCCAACAGACAAGGATTTTTTTTTTGTAATAACTTTTCTCTTACAATTTTAACTCAACATTTTCACAGAGTACTGGTAAGTATACTATTGGTTTTATGGCAAAATTAGTATTTCTATTAGCTTTGCCGTGTATTTTGGAAGAGTTTTATTAAAATTATAAGTGTAACTTTTACACAAATCACATAACGTTTGAAGAGACAAGTGACAAAATAGACAAATTTTTATCATATTTAACTTTCTGGAATATATGGTTTGGTGAGAATGCACTATTCAATTGAACTTTTATAGTGTCATTTCCATAAGTTTCGATGTAAAATGCACGAAAAGGAAAAAGTTGAAAATAAATACAAAATTTATTATACTCCTGTAATCAGATAATTGTAAAAAGTGTATGTAGTATTCAGGCATCATTCTTTCAGCCTGGCTGTCTGTTGTAATTGTGTCCAATTCAGAATGGTAGGATACCTCTTGCGTTTTGTTCTGTTATATGATATAGAATGTATAACTTATAAAATGAATATTTATGTATGTTACTAATACACTCTTTATTAAACTTTTTTATCAGATATTCCATTGATGATTTAGCAGAAGAAAGGAAGTTTCTTGTTAACATGAATATAAGTTTGTGTTTTGAATCAGATGCACCATGTTTGTATGACTTTGTATTGTTTCAAGATAGTTTGTTACCCAAAATTATGTGTGATTGGGAGTCAGGATTTTCTATTCCAGGTATGTTTTATTATATATTTGATTAATGACTGGTTGAAATGATGATAAATTAGAATAGGCAAAATGTGATTACTGAAGATTAATTGTTCATTGATAACAATTGATATAGTCATAACAAAATTATTTGAAATGCATAGAACTAGAAATATATTGTATTGTTGTTTTTTCATCTTCTTTAAAATGATGTGATTAGTGGTTGCTTTATTCACATAATCGATAGTAAGTTATTGATTGTCAATTGCTTAAATATAAACTGAAACTTGAAGTTGCTCTTTTAATGGACTTTTCATATCACATGACTCAAATGATAAATTGAGCTAGTCTCGTTACTTGGTGTGTGTCTTTGTCGTCTATTGTCGTCCTCCGTTTTCTTTGTCATCGTCGTCGTCCGTTGACGTTTATAAAAAATCCTCTCCTCTGAAACTACAAGATATACCTACCATTCAGTTAAACTTAAACTGTCTGACAACTCTCTATATGAGTTATTGTCATAAAATGATGATTTTAAATCATTTTATGCTGATTTATTTGTGTAAGCTTAAGTAGATGGAGAAAAGCTATTAAGATTTAAATTAATTAGTTGGACACAGCATACCTGGCATCTTTAGTCTACGCCTTTAGGAGTTATTGCCCTTAAAGTATGATATTTTATTATTTTTTGCATTTTTCCTGAACACTTTTTAAAATATTGCATTGCATTGTCTTAATTTGTAAATGCTTATAAGTTTTATTGCTCTTGAATAAAGATAATACCCTTATGGTTTTCATAGAAGAAAGAGACAAACTTTCAATTGTAAAAATGATCAGCAATTTGCGATCAACAAAGAGGTCAACAAAGCCGAAATTCTCATTCAACTTCTTACGGGTGTTATTGCCTTTGAATAAAGTTCTTACCTATTTCGTAATAGTTGATTTAAAAGAGATTTAGTTACTAATTAGATTCAAGTCTACAATGTTGGATAATAAGGAATGTTCAAAAATAGGAAACCATTTTAAGTGAATGTCATAGCGCTAGCACAAAGAGGGAAACGTAGTTCAATACTAATTATGCATTTTACAATTTCATTGCTGTCAAAGTACATACTATCCGTATAATCATATTTATTGTGCGTACCTGCGACCCTTACGGCAAAACCGGGTCAAGTAAACGCCCCACTCCGTCAATCATTCCGTCTTTCCGTAAACATGTCTTTACGTTAATCCGTCTTGCTGTTCGTCCGAAAGACCTTGATTAGAAACTTTTGTTTAAAGAAAAAACAAGAAGATAAAATTAGCTAGATTATTCAATTTTACATACAAGTATATATATATATATATATATATAACAAATTTTGTTGATTGGTTCCTATGAATATATATCCTCCTGAACTAGAGTTTTAAAAATTTACAGATATAGATTCCACTGCATCAATTTTATACATATACATGTACCTCGAATAATAGCTGTCATGTCAGTACCAGAATCTATGACACACGAGACGATTTCAATTTTGGAATTTAACATTTTCCTCACCTTAGCAGTAATAAATCAAATTCACCCGCGTATGTTTTATACATTTCTCAATTCATCCGATATTGGAGAGCTAGTCAGACTTTGTAAAACGTCATCGGTGTACGGGCAAACAAATAATGAGCCAGGATTTTTTAAAAGAATATCTAGTCCTTTTTCTCAAAAATTACCAAAGTTGCTTAACGCCTAGGGGCCAATATTTCATGCATGTTCTGGACGAGATCAATTTAACAGTAAGTTCTTTAATGTGTACCGTCTTGGAGGAAGGTCGGGGAAATTTGGACTGTCACTGGAAAATGAAAAGGTATAAAAATATGGCCTTGCAACAGGCCACCTACGGACCCATAAAAGAATTGTCGGCATTCCTATTAGAAACAACTGCGCACCTCTCCTGGCCGACATTTGCTTACATACATATGAGTCGGAGTTCTTTCAGACACTTGTAAAAAACAAGAAGACCAAAGAACCTAGATTATTTAATTTCACATACAGATTAATTTTCAAGGTGTTCTTTCTATTACCAATCCAAAATTTTCTGATTGGGTCCCATTAACAAACCCTCTTAAACTAAAGGGAAAAGGTCCACAGATACAGCTTCCTCGGCTTCAGTTCTAGACATGTACTTCAAACTTGACTACAGCAGTCATTTCTGTACCAGAATCTATGGCTAATGAGACGATTTTAATTTTGCAGCAATACACCAACTTCATTCGCGTATGGAGTATACATTTCTCAATTAATACGACATTCTAGAGCTTGCAGCTGCAACTCAGACTTTGTAGAACGGTGTCTGAGGAACGTTTGTCTCTTCTCTTTTCTCCTGTTGGTCGTATGACTCTTAACCTGGCTCGGTATATATTTGTCCAGCTATCGTGTTTTTGACTTTTGGTGCAGGTGGACCAAGACGTGCGATCCGGACGCAAGATAACTTTACCCTTGTATCTATTTTTTTACTTTATTTGTATTTTTCCGTTTATGTATTTTCAGGGTTTTCACTGGATAGTTTTGTTCAAAATTATGGTTACAACATTTCTGATACATTGCCACAGTTTCTTGTCAATACAGTATTCCAAAAACTTGGCATTTCCTCCTATCTGATTGATTATCCTTGTAGTCTCAGAGATGGGATGTATTTTCCAAGCAAAAATGGTTGGAAGAATGGTAAGCCATACTTTTTGAATGATTATGTTCAGAACACTTGAAAAATTTTTTTTGTAGTTAGTGTTTTGGTTTTTTTTCTTCCAGAAATCAGTGGTAGTCAAAACTGAAAAAAGTTTGATATAATGAAGTATCTCGCGTTAACTCATTAGGGTACTGTGAACTATTGTCATCACATTTATATCTGTCTTTCGTCCATTTGTAGACAACTTAGATTTTACAACATATCCCCTGAAAGCACATTGCCAGTTTGAAGAAAAACTTGACAGGAATTATATATGTAAGGTGCTTTTAGAAATAATGCGTAATTTTGTTTCCGATCACATGAACAAAATTGATGCCAGAGGCAATTTTTAATTATGATTTGCCAATTAAAAAAAAATAAATTATTTTTTTAACAATTTTTGTAGTTGAAAAATGATCTTTACTTAGTCTATTAAGCCAGAGAGAAAGACTTGAGTGACAATTCAAAAAGTTGTAAGCTTTATCAAATGTATAACAGTAAAGTATGCATTTCCCAGGACTGTGAATTATATTGTTTCTTTTCTGTATTGCACAGACTGTCAGTATGATCTGAAATTGCTAAAACTACCGGAAAGCACTGCCTGCAACCTGGGTCAATCTTGTACATCGATTTATTGTTGTATCCAAGAAAATAATCTGAGAAGATCGTTCAATGTTTGGTTAGACGTAAATACATGTACCTATAAACTAAGGTTTGGAATAGAGAAGTTAAGTCACCAGATAGACTTATTTGGATATAAATGGGGTAAGTATACTCATACATTTTATCAATTTTTTTCTTAAATAAATAAAGCATCAAACTTTATTTGTCAAAAGTCCTGTAAAGAATACATCGCTCTAAATAAAGTTTAAGTGATTTGATTTTGATTTGCAACAATTGTTTGGAGTAAACATATGCGAATGTTGACTGCAGATTCGAAGTTGTATATAAAAAATTTATATTAAAACTCTAAATTCATTTCAGGAACAATTGAAAGGAAATACCTGATGAATGTAGTTAGAGTTGAGTATGTATTATTTTGTCAGTTTTTATTCAGTTAGAAAATAGTTGATGTATACCATTGTATCAATAATTTAAGAAATTTGCCAAGATATCGATAAAAGGAAAGTAAGCTCAGATGGAATAAGTTTTTGGCTGAAGAGTTATTTCAAACCATACTGTCGTCATACAATATTGATAGATACTTGAGGGTATCAACGGAATCGTGAGCAGACTAGTAACAAGGATAGTTAACTGCTTTATATTCATTGCTATTATATCAGCATACATAAAACAGTGACTAAGATCACTCAGTTTGACAGATACTTATACAGAGTTGATACAATTGTTTTAAGCTTCAGAAGAAAATATTTTCGTTTTGAATTTTAATAGCAAATTTCTACATACACCTTAAAGATATGAATGATTACCAGAATAGCCTTGAAAATTTTGTAACAAGGTTGCATTTGTCAACTCATATCAAGATAACTATTTTAATTGTTAAACTTGAATAAAGGTCTTAATTATTGTAAACACTTTGCAGGTTTATTTTGAAAGATTTGAAAGAAGAAAGAAAATTTGAAATTGACATGAATATCAGTATTTGTTTTGAAGAGGACAGCTGTATATCAAGTTTTATTGTTTTTCAAAAAACAACCCTTCCAAAAGTTTTCTGTGAATGGGGAACTGGTTTCTTGATTCCAGGTAAAAAAAACTGTAATTTTATATAACTTAGAAAAGACAAGTCTTTTTAGTTTTATTACATAACATAGTTTTGATAACGTAGTATCAATTATATGGTGAAAGAAAAATGTAAAATCACAAAAATACTGAACTCCGAGGAAAATTTAATCGGAAAGTCCCTAATCACATGGCAAAATCAAATGACAAAACACATCAAACGAATGGACAACAACTGTCATATTCCTGACTTGGTACAGGCATTTTCAAATGTAGAAAATGGTGGATTGAACCTGGTTTTATAGCGCTAAACCTCTCACTTGTACGACAGTCTTATCAAATTCCGTTATATTTACAACGATGCGTGAACAAAACAGACATTATAAATAAAATAGTCAAAATATGGGTACAGCAGTCATCACTGTGTTACAATATCAAAACAAACAATTATTTACAAAAAAGAACAAAAGCATCTATCAAATTAAAAACCACATTCATTGCTTTGCGTGTCTGACGTCAGAAAATGTAAACGTCACATAAGAAGAAATTTTGTCATTCAGTGTTTATTCAAAACAATTTTAAAATTTCACATGTAGAATGTTGGTATAAAGAAATTTCCGTTTTTGTAGATAACCATACCATTAAGCAAATGTCGTTTGAAAATGGAATGGAATTTAATTTCATTGTTATCTGTTACTTTTCCCTTTTTGTAGGATTTTCATTGAGTAGATATCTAGAGAATTCGGGATATGCAGTCACGGATTCATTACCAAAGGACATAACTGAAAAATTACTTTATTATCTTGGACTGGACACATTCTTGTTAAAACCCGATTGTATGAATGTTATTTCACCATATTCAGTAACATATTTGACAGAAAAAACAGGTATTTTAAAGTGTGAAATCAATTATTGTTTTGTTGAAAGAAAAATAAATAGGCACATCTTTATTCGAAAGTAAGGATATGATATCCCTGTGAGAAGACATGTATTCAAACTTTTGAAAAAAGACTATTTTTGTTATCTGGAGACTTGGTTTTGGGTATTTGGAATTATTTGGTATCAATATAATATATCACATATACTACAACGTTTTTTCCAAAACAAATCAAGAAGTCATTTTATTGCATTCATATTGTGTACTTCCTATTGCATATGATACTTATCGGTTATTATACATAATGTTAAAATGACACTTTTTGAATTGTTAATTTGGTGGGTTACCTTCTACTTCAACACATGATTCATTAGACACAAATTTTTGTTTATATCATACCCTATGGTATAAAAAATTGGCAAATGGAAAAACGAATAGACAATGTAATATATTAGATAACACATAGCCGAGAGGATGAGGAAGCAAATTGATACCCTCAAATAAATGTTTGTCAGCAGTAACCATCAGCTCTTTCCTCTTAAGGTATGTGGTATTTGTATAATTAATATACAATCAAATTGTCTGACTAATCTCTACATCTTAAATGATATATAAATAAGGAGACAACTTATTTTCACCATTACATGCTGAACAGCTAACAGAAAAGTACTTTCAGCTAGCCTGGCCAAAAGGGCCAGATGAGTTATCTTCCTCACTTGGACTCCGGCATCTGGCGTTCTGCTCCGGCGTCAGTAAACTTTTTCAAAAATTATCATTTCTTCATCAATGAGTTATCAAGGGGTTTTAAAAATGTGTCGTCTGATGATCGTGCACGCGAACCAACGTGACCGACATGGCTGACAATAGAACATAGGAGTAAAATTCCAGTAAAACACCGAAGATGTCAAACAACTTTTTTTAAGGGGTAACTGCCCTAAACGGGCGATTTATAAAATTTGGATATTATTTTTAATTTCAAAACAATAATAGCCGAATAGATAAAGGGAGAAACGTTTAATAGCACAAATGATAAGCAGAACAACAAAATAAGTCAACATGGATGAAATTGCCAGTCCATTCCTTAAATGATTTATTGTCCTTAAATGAAGATTTTACCATTTTTTTTTTTGCATTTTTGCCTTCCATCTTGTCAACTATAATAGATAGATAGGAAATGTCCAAAATGATCAACAAGGCAAGTTTTTCAAATATACAAACCTGTCAAAATCGTAGGTCGACTCCTTGTAGAAGTCATTGCCCTTATATGATGATTTTAACTATTATCTTGTAAAGACTATAATCGATAGATAAACTACCAGCAAGACGATATTTTTGTGATAGACTTCTTGTGAATTATTGCCTCTAAATGATAGTACAGCCCTTGGATGGTGTAAACTTCCCAAAAAAACGTGTATGGTGTAATGGTGTATGGCATATGCTGCAATGGTAGAAGGTGTATGGTGCTATGGTGTATGGTGTAAGGGGAATTGTGTAATGGTGTAACGTGCGATCGGGAATGTTGTGAATGAATGGTGTACGCCATTTAAAACTATGCAAAATATTGATAAGAACTGATTTTTTTGTTTTATACATTAATTTACAATATTGTGATCAAAAATCGTTTTTTTAAATAAATAAATAATTTTTTTTAGTTGCACGCTTTCTTTGAAATTAAATTGCATTATGGTGTAATGTGTAAGGTGTATGGTGCAAAGGTGTAACGTGTATGGTGTAACGGCACAGGGTGTATGGTGTAAGTGGGAAGTTTACACCATCCAAGGACTGTAAATACCATTTTTGCGATTTTGCTTATTATCTTGAAAATCATAATAGTTATAGAAACACTCAAAACTTGAAAATTATCATCCGGACAAGATCTAGCAACTTGTCAATATGTCTAAAAATGTTCGTAGACTCGCTTCAATTGGTATTGATTCTTACAGACGATATATACCATTTTTTTGCTTTTTTGATCGGAGCTATAGTAGATAAAATAAACAGTAAACAAGATCAACAAGAAAGTGATCTAATTCATGAATTATATTCTAGTTTTAACGTTGAAGAGGCTTTTATGTCAGGGTGAGCAACACATCCTCTTTAGAACCTCTAGTTATATAATTATGTGTTAACAATGTATGCTTTACACGCAAAATTGATATTACCGTGAAATTTGTGTTTCATTGTAGTTTGTCCTGAATGTGAACAGCAGGGAATTGTTTTTAACAATTCAGTTTCTTGTGATTTTGGAAAGACCTGTTCTGATATTAGATGTTGTGTTGGAGTCAGCTTATTACACAGGGCTTTATATATCAGCATAGATATAGATCCATGTGAATACATAATGCAGCTTCAAGTTGAATCTTTAGAAGTCACAAAGTCACTTTTGGATTATAAATGGGGAGTAGAAGATAGTATATCACTCCAAGGTGGATTAATATTTCAGTAAGTATGCAAATAAAATAAATTAAAGGACAATTTCTTGAATTTGCAGGACATACTTTCGAGAATATATACACATGCACAGCAAATTGTTTGAGAAGAATAAATTGACAACCCTTTAACTTGGTACGCTGATCCACAGATACTTCCGGGAGAATCACAGATTAAGTGTTCCATTTCCAACCTGTGACAAAACAATAAAGATCTCACGAACTGATAACAAAATCGTCAAATTTTTTATTGAATGTTTTAAAAATTGCGTCCATTCTTGATTAAAACCTTAACAAGTGTTTGCATCTAAAATTACGAAGTTGTATTGAGTGAACGTTGATAGTGTTTTTTATATAGATTACACCGTTAGTTTTCCTGTTTGAATTGTTTTAAACTCGTCATTTTGAGGCCCTTTATAGCTTGCTGTTCGATGTGAACCAAGGCTCCGTGTTGCAGACCTATAACTGTTTACTTTTTGCACATTGTGACTTGGATGGAGAGTTGTCTCATTGACACTCATACCACATCTTCTTATTTACATTAACTGTTTGAATTACTAGTTTAAATTTAAAACAAGCATGGCATCATCGCAGGGGAAAATAAAAAAATAAACTCCACAGAAATGGATGACATATGAATATGTCTTCTTAAGCAACTTTGACAAAGGGATCTGGTACAATTTCCACCTCAAAATTATCAAATATATTTATGCATTTTCAATGAGCTAATATATAAATGGGTTATACGTTTTATTTTCTGATAAAGTTCTGTAAATACTTTGCACCGTTCCATTTGTTAAATTAGTATCAATGATCTCATATTGATAACATCTTTATCTGCTGGGAATTTTATTGACACAAGTTGATATAATTCATCTTATTAAGGTGTCACAAGTTATATAATGGATATCTGAGAAACGTTCTGATTTTACTATGAATTATATGAAATGGTCAGGATCCCCTCATCACCCCCAACTTTTTAAAATATGTGAGTAAGGGTTTTAAACTACAGATGCTTGTCTGTACCAAAATGTGTATGTACAGACCCCGCCCCTGTGTTACAATAAAAAAATTAACAAAATCGACGCAAACTAACCAGACGATAACTCGTTCAAAACAAGTTCCAAAGGTGATCTTAATGTTGAACAGGCAGAATTTCCAGAATGAAAATCACTATGACAATTAAAATTGCATTGAGTCTTCATTTTCAGATCCAGATTAAGACAAAATATGCAAATTGGAAACTATGATTTCCAATCTATTGAAAATTGTAGCTTGTCAAATGACACCACCTGACTTAAATGCAGACAGCGATATTTAATGTGTTTCTGTTTTGAGTTAGGAAGATCTCAGATGACACATGAGACAATGTGGAAGATGCTGTCTGTAAAGTCTAACATTAAATGAAACTTGTTATAAGTTGAGTCCAAACAGTTAACATTGAATTAGGTAAAGACTGTAACTTCGGATTATGTAAAAGGCATGTGTGATATATACAGAATTTAAAAAAAAATTAACACTTGTCGAATACATTTAATATATGCATGATTGTTGAATGATTGACATAAGTTTGAAAAAAAAATGTAAAAACTTTTTAATTTCTGCCGACGATGAATGTGTTACATAAAATTGAATGTTTATCAAAACAAAGAGATTGTTTGTTATATGTACCTAGTCAATATGTTAAATGGTATTATCTTTTTTAGATTTGTGATAGATGATTTACCAAGCCAGAAGATGTTTATGGTTGATTTAAAGCTGTCAGTTTGCCTTGAAGCAAACAATCCTTCAGATTGTATTTTCAATGTTGATGTTTTCAAAAACTATAAAATAAGAAAGCAATCATGTAATTGGAACATGGGATTCAAAGTGAAAGGTTAAGATTTTATGAGATAAAAACAAAATGTAAGATTACAAACTTGGTAGTTCACAGATCATCTAACAATATATGATGTGTAGCAATTGCCAGTGTAACGTATACTTTTTTTCATTACTTTGTGTTAGTTATTCATTTATTATTTGCCAATTTTTTATTCCAAAACTATAATATTTTTTTCATATGAAGAAAAGAAGTGTGGTATACGCCAATGAGTAAATAACCCATGAACAAAAAAAAATAAACAAAAGACATCTAGAGATCAACATATAATCTTCGACAATAAATAGATTCCTTTACAATATGTCCAACTCTAAATCTTTCAGTCAATAAAAGATGTGAATAAATTTAACAGAAACAAAGAACTGCCGCCAGAACCCAATTTTCAATATTGCTTTTAAAATAGCAAAAAAATTTGTCACTGAATTTTGTAAATTATACACTTGAAATATGAGATGGAAATCATGATTCATTGTAGTCAACTCAGGGGTAGATAATTAGACTTTAATTTGTGAAATTAATTTTCTTGACTAAAATATAGAAAAGATTTATGGTTCTCCAATGATGTGATCTATTGTAGTTTATATTTTGTAGTTGTTCTTCTTGTAGATTTTTCATTAAAAGAATGGATGAATGGAAGGAAAATACAGCTTACAGATCATTTAACAATTTATGATTCTCAGAAACTACTTGAATACATGGGTATTCAGAAATATTTAAATCAAGATGAATGTAAAATAAACATTAGCAAGACTGAACATCCAAAGGGATGGAGTGTGAATGCCGGTGAGTTATCATCTTATTATAATTGTTTCAATTGTTCAGCTGTTGTTATAATATTGTTTAGCCCACCCAAGATATGGTCATATTTTTTGTTGGGAAAAAGTAAAAGACATTCTATAGATATTACAGTTACTCCTTCACATATTCCTGTTGTTCAACCAGATTGTAAAATTGACAAAACAATTGAGACATTTCAAATGACCATTTGGTATTGTTAGATTTGATGAATGAAAAGATGATTCAAACTTATGTCATACCCTATCTTTTTCTTTTTCAAATATTTGCAGAAAGATGTTGATTTTTTTTCTCTGAGAACTCTAGATGTTTTATGAGGGTATCCTATGCTTAAGAAATATATATTGTATTTACAGTCTTTTTGCATTGAAATGAAGTATTCCTCGAAGCATTAGTGGCTATACAATTTACTTAAAAACACACAGAATTTAGAAGAAAAAGAAGAGATTTTTATTAAATTCTCTCTCTCTCTCTCTCTCTCTCTCTCTCTCTCTGTGGATTTTTTTCTCCATATTTTTAAAGAGAGACCAAGCCAGAATTGGAATACACAAATGTTTTTTTTTCTTGCAGAGTACTCAATTTTGTCTTATATTGCTCTTATATTATATAAATAACACATAAATGAGAGGGTGATAGAGCTGATTGTTACCCCGAGAAAACATTGTCCACTGAGGCGGTAACAATCTGCTCTATCACCCTATCAGCTATGTCTTATTTAATTTATTATACTGAATGTTCTGTTAGTACTGTCTTTTAAATTTTTGAAATTCAAAGTAATAAACTATGACGTCTTATACATAACAATCATCCGTATTTGATTAAGCGCACACTTAATCAAGCGTCTCCGTGAAGGGTAATATAGTGTGTGCCATGGGATAGAGTAACCTGTCTCCCTCGTATTAACCAATCAAATCAGGCATTTTGACACGAAGTATAATAATATCTGTTATTGTTTTCACAGCTAAATACTATGAATGCTTGGATTTATTTCACAATGTTGAAACAACTTTTATCTTGTTGACTTTTTTCTAATGGGAGATAGCTCAAAAACCTTTTTCTTGCTGTGTAAATATTAATTATTCCATACCTTTACAGGATAACAAATGTTCAAACATATTAGAATAAGTGTGCGCATTCCTCATTTAGGTTTTCTGTTCAAAAGCTATATCAGCGTAGTACAGAGTGTGTATGCATTTGTAAAATATCAAAATAACAGTTACCTGTATAAATGAACTGTTTCGCTATTGACTTACACATGTAATTGATTTACCATCCAGTACTCCAGTTTCACCAGTTGGAATCATAAACATTTTACCTAAATTTTTTAAAGTACTTGGATTTTTAATCTTATATTTTTCACTATATCACTAGATTTTACTACATCCACAATTTTTGCTGTTTGTTTTATGAATCATGATATATATTCCATGAATAAACAGGTGGAATGTAATAAAGTAAATAGTTCCAGATTTTTTTAGATATTATTTCAAAGATTACATTCAAAATTATTATCCTCACTTTATTATTTTTTGGAACATTTAACTTATATTTTTCAATTTATCAGTATATTTGACTTTATCCACCCATGGTATTCACTTTTTATTCCATTTTCCATGACACATATCCCATTTGAACAGGTGCAACTTATTAATTTTAGATCTATAGTTTTGTAATGATTTTTTTTTCATTTAAGTCTTTTTTCATCAGTGTCCTTTAAACTATACTATTATGTTTTCTTTTCAATAGAATGTAAGGAACCGTATAATCTACAGCCTATTGTTAATGCTTTGTCATGCAACATCACAGATGCATGTACAGAAATCATGTGTTGTATATTTGTGGACAAGCTGAAGATGTCACTAGACTTTTTCCTGAAAATGGACTCTTGTAATAATAAGTTTACTATTGGAGTTGGAAAACTTAGAAAAACAGAATCCCTTCTGTCTTTTGATTTTGGTGCTGAAGAAGTATTCTCTCTTTATGGATTATTGAAACTTACGTTAGTAATAAATTGTAGAATTAGAATATTAGAATATCCCCTCTCTATCCTACAAAGTTTACTCGCTTACATGTACTGATAAATTGGTGTGAGCAGTTACATAATGAATAAAAAAGCTTTGTTCTATATCATTTAAACTTATTCGTTGCGTTTCAAAATAAAAATAAAAGGATTAAAGTTTATTTCTTGAGAAAATCAATAGAATTTAATAGATACTAATTACTTCACTGTACTTTGTTCTTTAAAGGAAATTTCTGCTTTTCTCTTGTCATGTTTTTATGTTAATACAGTGGGACATCCGGTGGCAAATGAATTATTGTCCTATTAAACACAGAAAAATAGAACTCTCCAATGTAACGCCTGAACAAGAACATGCTAAATAAATAAAACGATTACACTATAATGTTAACATTTCCCTCTTAATAAAGCAAACAATGGAACAGCTAGCTATATGAGTTTCGTGTGAAACTGGTATTTTATGTGTATGATTAGATTTCACAATTAATTTTACTACTGACTGCATACGTTACTGAATCATGCAATTTTTCCGTATACTGTTAAAAGTCCCTAATACATCTCCAGATGAAGAACACAACTACAAATAGAAATAGAAAAACCTCAATGTAATGATATTTTAATAATTGACTGAGCATAACCAATTGTGCTTTTTTGCAGAGCATAAGATAGAACAATAAATATTTAAAATCTTTTGGAGTTAATAGTGTTTGTAAAGGATTGAAATTTCAGGGAATTTTTATGTGTGAAAATTAGAATTAGGTCTTTTTACCTGCTGAAGTCGCATAACATGGGGACTTTAGGGGTTTCCAACTTGTGAAAAAAGTAATCACTCTTCGTACACCATAAATTCAACCAAATCTGTGAAAATGTCTCAGCTTCAAAACGAGTCATCATACTATCCAAGTTTACATTTTGGACGAAGGAATCAAAGAAAAAGCTAACAATGTCGTCTACCTGAAACGGATTGCGCAGATTGACCCATATGTACGCAGATTGACCAAAGAGGTTCAGGGAAATAATAACAAGAAGCTTGATTAATATGCAGCAAAGAACAACATTTTTGAAATTAAGTCAATAGGCAATTAAATTAAAACGGACCTTATTCCAATATAAATGTAAATTAAATACATGGAGAAGACTGCAAATGTATGGACAACAAAATAACTCTAGCAAACATATTCTAAAATTCGTTTAAAAAATCGTATAGTGTATTTAGTATGTTCATTATCTAAAATAAATTTTTAAAAAATCAGTATGTAGCAAAAATAAGCAATATTGATTATATATCAGTGTAACATGCTTCTAGTGCAATTTTCTTGATAGTAATGAAAATAAGACAAAATGCATTTGCATGTATATTTCAAATAATGTCATATACTGGAAATTTAGAAATTATTTCCTTTTTTTTATTCATTCAAAAATTGGGACGGGATATTTTTCGCAAAAATAAAATCTCCCACTCTAAGTAATAAAAGCATTATTTGTAGGCAGCCATTCTAGAAAATCGCAATAGTTGAGTTCGCATGTGTGTTCATTGTTCAACAATCTCAATAATGAATGCAGGCAACAATTTCTGAATTAATAGTAACAGATTGTTTTTCAATTGTGATTCAAAAACAACTTGGAGAAGTATGAGTAATGCAGTAAAACAATCTATTGATTTGGTTCACCTTTTCAAATAAAGTGTTACTAATCTATTTTTATTGATCACACTGAATAATAATGATTATGAAAAGGAAAATTCATAAAGCGCCCTATGTAATAAAAACTGAATGTTCCTCTTAAAAGTACAGTACATGTATATAGACAAGTATCATTTTCTTCCCTTATAAATAAATATTTTACTTTTTTATCAGGTACAAAATCAGTGACTTCCAAAGTGAATATGCTTTTGTTGTCGCATTGAACATTAGTGTTTGCTTCGAGTCGCATATGCAATGTGAAGTGGATTTACAGATTTTTAAAGATGTTAAACTTTACAAGAAGTTGTGTGATTTAGAAGAAAAATACTCAATATCTAGTGAGTAAAATGATTGTATTTGATAGTGTGTCTAATAAGAAATATACAACACTTAACAATGGGGTAAAGTAACTGTTATTATATTGATATGCTTTATTGTAATATGTTTTGGGTCAACATCAAATACAATTTCACAGGTTGAACTACATTCAACATTTTTATCATTGACAGATGTTTGGATTAGATGTTTACCTTTCATAGTCTTTAGATAACCACTTTTCATATTGCAAATTTCCGCCATTGAATTTCCATATTTGAAATTTTTGTTCATCATTTGGGTAGTTGAAACCAATAACTCTTTAAAATAATATAATCTGGTCCTAAATGGTTATTACATTTTTTGAAGATTTTTCCTTATCCCGTTGGTTGTTAAATCAGAATATAGCTGTAGGACAGCATTTGCCAGATTATGCTGTAGACCTGTTAACAGAACAGTTGGGAATAGCTCAGTATCTACATGACAAGCAGTGTTCAAAACAAAATATGTATCCTGTAAAAGCTGGCTGGAATACATTAGGTAATAATGTGATATTGAAAGCATGCCATGATCCCTATGGACACTATCACTGTTTTAAGTTATATCAAGTAGATAAAGGTTTTTTTGCATCAGCATGAAAAAAAGTGTTCACGATGGTAATTTTTGTGCCAGTTAATTATTGGTTCATGAGGTACGATTCGAACACACGAGGTTTTAACCGTTCTGTTTTCATTTTGTTTTTCCTTGTCTTTATATTTTACTTATTTTCTTGAACTTGAACTTTATCGAGAAAGTGTATACTATATACTGTATAAACTATGAACTACACAAAAAAAATTTTTGGCGTCTTTGTCATTTAATTATTGGTTCCAGAGGTGCGATTCGAACACACGAGGTTTTAACCGTGCTGTTTCATTTTGTTTTTCCTTGTCTTTATATTTTACTTATTTTCTTTAACTTGAACTTTATCGAGAAAGTGTATACTATATACTGTATATACTTTCAACTACAAACATATTTTTGTTGGCGTCTTTGTCAAGTGTACTATCAACTATAATAAAGTTATTATCTATTATACAAGTGGGATGTTTAGCAAGCTAGAAAACAAGATTTAACCCAGCATTTTCTTCGGAAAATGTCTGTACAAAATTAGGAATACGACTGTTGTTTTCCATTTGTGCCGTTGGTTGATAATGTCCAACGTTTGATTTTTTCAGTTTTTATGGCCTTCCCCTTTTTGAATTTACCTTGGTGTTCGGTATTTTTATGTTTTTTTATGCATAGTGCAATATTGTTAAAAAAAGTAGGGAAAAATTATATTGCTTTTCGTATTGTCATTGCTATAGTTGATTTAAAAGACAATATTTCTGTTTTTGTTTAATTTCTCAGCTGTTTATTTAGTCCTGATTATTGGTTTGTATTTGCATTGTAAAACATGAGTATGGTTTTAATATTAAACATTCGTTTTGATAATTTCTGCATTTGTTTGTAGGGTGTGAGAAAGCACCTTTAATGCAAAAATTATCGAGACATCTTGCATGCAGATTACCAGAGTATTGTACCGGGGCATCTTGTTGTGTGGACATACCATTGTTAAGGACGTCCATTGAGACGTTTGTTTTACTTGATGTATGTAATTATAAAATAACATTAGGAATAGAAAGAATGATTAAAAAGATATCTCTTTTTGACTACAACTACAACACCTGGCAAAATGTAACACTAGGAAATGTGGTGAGATTAGGGTAAGGAAGCTTTTTTTCTTTATTTAAAAGTTGTTTCATTCATTTATATTCCTGAGTTGACCTACATGAACTTCTGAAAATGATTTGAACTGAAAATGTCCCAATGAAACTCCTTTGATATAATAGACTTTCTTTTGTATTTGGTTTGCTTTATTTCAAACCTTTACCGTTACGATTTCCAGGGAGTAAAGATATATTTTATAGATTTTAGGTCATTTGTAAAGGAAATTGAGTCCTAATTATATTTTTACGAATGAGGACATTTTTATTCTGAATAGGTATAAGATAGAGGAGTTATCTGCAGAAAAAATGTTTCTGTTTAATATGAAGATTGATATTTGCTTTGAGACTTCTGGAGATTGCAGGTATTCCTTCATTGTACTGAAAAATATTAAGCTACCAAGACAACCCTGTAATTGGAGTGGTGGACATGTTATTCCTGGTAAGCACAAGTCAATGTTCAGAAAGAAGAAAAGATTTTAATAATAATGATGATGATAATGTTGTTGTGCTTTATTTGCCATATCAAGTTTTTTTTACACTCAAATACTTAAAGCGAACTGTATAGCAAATTCATCAAATTAAATACTTGTATGATGATTTTTTTTTTGTATGAAATAACTTTTTACTTTTAAATACGATTTTTAAATAAGGGTATGCTTATTTTCTTAAAAATAATAATATAATGAAAATGTTTTTAATTCTAGGTTTCAGTTTGAATCAATGGCTCAATGATAAGAATTTACCTTCAACAACAACAGTACTAAACAGTTTGCTGGCCTCACATCTTTTGGAAGATCTTGGTTTGTCTGACTACATGCTGTATCCGTCCTGTGATTTCAGTACCTTCAAGATGAAGCAGCATGCAGGTCGTGGATGGAACTCAGGTACTCTTTTGTGTTTCCTTAAAGTTTTGTAAAATATGTGTTTTCTCTTTAAATGGCGGATTGACTTAAAAGGCGGTGGTCATAAATTACAAAAGCTGAGGCTTGTTAGTTTTATTGAGTGTAAGGGAATTTTAACTTTTGAAGGACTGGGGCTTAACTTATGCAAGGGCACCACGATGCAAAAACCCTCATTTAAAAACTCTGATCTGAAAAATAAACTTGTTCAAACATGTCAGGATTAAATTCATGTTAATTTTATATTTTTGCTCATCTGGCTCATAACTCTGAACTAATTTTTATAGAACTTACATCTATTATTCAGTAGGGTAGCTATATGATATTTCATAAATTATATGTCGGTTGATTATTGAAAAAAGAGATATAATTCTTGTAAGTGTTCAATATTTTTAACCTCAATAAAAAAAAGAACATATTCTTCGTGTCCAGATCTACCTATATTCCAATTCTAAGAAAATTATTGTGGAACTCTATCTTTAAAACTTTTAAAATAGGCTTTAATAGACTGTGATTAGCATAACAAATGCGTATACGAAAGAAATAAAAATGTACTCCTTAAAGGAGATTTTGCTCTTAACATACACAATGTTAGATGAAGTTCTGCATATTGCCAATCATCATGCAAAAGAGAGGCGAAAGATACCAAAGGGACATTCAAACTCATAAGTCGAAAATAAACTGTCAACACCGTGTCTAAAAAAGAAAAAGACAAACAACAGTTCACAAAACACAACATAGAAAACTGAAGACTGAGCAACACGAACCCCACTAAAAACTGGGGTCGATATCAGGTGCTCTGGAAGGCTGCACAGATCCTGCTCTACATATGGCACCCGTCGTATTGCTAGTGAAAGTACAAACCCGAGGACAAGTCTAATTCGGTATGTCTCATTCGGGGAAAAGGGGACGGGATTGTAGTTGCAACAATTGGAACATATCGATCCGTCGTCATCTTTTAAACAGATATTCCATAACGGTCAACCAACTCGTGATGGCGTCCGTAAATTTTACGAAGGAATGATTTCAACTTCACCACTTGGAACTCTTGGTTTAATAGCTTCCTTGTGAGCAGCAAACTAGATACAATGTGTATGTCACACATGATAAGCAGTAAAAAATCTTCCAAAAATGCGAATTTAACTTGATAGGAATAGTTGCCCTGCAAGTAGATTTTATATATTCTCTATGGATTTTGCCGTCTATCTTAAATTTCTCTGACAAGATGCTTTTTGTCATACCTACAACAATTATTTTTTGGCGGATTCGAGACATTTCTATTCTACATTCCTTCGTCGGCGTGATCAACATTTATGTTGAGTCTGTGGTTAAAGTTTCTTAAAACATAAAAAAAAAATTGTCAAAGCTTCGGGGATTTTTTTGAAATTTGGACAGAGGATAAATATTACTAAAAAGACAGTATCAAGAGCCAAATTTGAAATCAAAATATTTCATATTTCAATATTTTAGGGAATTTACGTTTTAAATTTTCCTCGGAGTTCGGTATTTTTGTTATTTTACTTTTTACTGATAAATGGACATTTTTTGCAGTTGACCTTTAGATACAGTATAAGGGTAAAGTTACTAGTAATCAATAACTTTGTCAAACCTTCACGTAATTATATACAATTTGGTCAGAAGAATCTTTTTTATGATAAAAAAAACAGTATCCAGACTAACATATCGTAAAATGTATTTTTCTCGTTTTCCGTATTATACTGCTAAAATAAAGTCGGGAGTTAACTTTAATTAGATATCAATTACATTGTCAAATGGTCATGGAACTAGGGAAGAAGCTTCTTTATAATTAAGAGATTAGGTCTGATACACAATTTTTAAACTATATTCTTTTAATTTTTCAGTATTTTAGTGATAGACTGACTTACTTAGTATGGGATACATTTTTCTTTTAAATATTTGTCGAATGTTATGAAACTTAGACAGAAACCAATCTTCATGATCACAAAATTGCATCTGACTCACTTTTTACATTTAACATTACAGTGTTACACTGAAAGCAGCAATCGTAGACGAGATGCAAGGTTCTGGGGAACTCTTTGCGAATGTTTTAGATAGTTTTGATAATTTTTGTGGCATATCTTGAAATAGACAGCCACTGTAAATAACAAAAACGAGAAGCAATAGAACATATAAAGATACTTACATGATTTAAACTATTTATTAACTACATTTGTTATCGTCCGAATTTGTTTAAGTTAAATGTGAATTAAATTACAGCTTTACAAAGATCTAACATTAGCGTACTTGATAGAAACTGACTATTTTCAGAGTAATTGTCCTTTTGTTTCTAGATCTACTGCCCTTCAACAACTAAACTAATTTCATTCGAAGTGATATGGGAAATCGTTTTGCAATTTTTTCAGATTTTAGAATTATTATATTGTTGTGAAATCAAAATTAAAGTTGGAAACTCTTACAAGGGGTAACATTCTCAGAAAGACTAGGTCAACTGGTAAATCATTAAATATGATTTGTTTATTCTGAGTTCTACATGTTTTATCTAAATATCAATTTGCAAAGATTTACCAGATGTGTGTTCCAGCTACCTGGTGCTTACTTTTGTGTGTGTGTGTGTGTTTTTTTTTTTTTTTTATTTTAATTATAATTGCAATTCATTTTACAAAATATTCATGGATATTTTTTTAATGATTTATTTGATAAACACACATTTCTTACAGCTGTTTACAAGTTTAGAACCACCATCTTATATCTATTTTGATGTAAACTTTTAGTAACTTATTTTTACAGAATGCAGTTCAAAAGTTGAGTTGCCAATTCTACCAAAAGAAGTTGTATGTCATCTTGATTCTACATGTAATGGGATAAACTGCTGTATGGAAGTAAAACTATTGCAGAAAAATATAAATGTTTTCATTGATATAGATTCCTGTAACTATCGTGTCAGTATTGGTATAGAGAAATATCAGTTCCAATTTTCTTTTGGAGATTTTCAGTTTGGTGTTCAGCAAAATATTCACATTTCAAAGGTCATTGAAATAATGTAAGTTTTAATTAGGTCTTTTTATTATTTTTACATAATAAAAATGTATAATTTTGTTTTTTAATACGAGTTTGTTCAATTCATTTCAAAAATTTTGTACATAGACCTGGAAATATCAAAATGGAAATACAAAATTAGAAGTATATACAACCACTTACATGATATATTGTACATTGGACAAAAAAAAAATACAATTTTTAAATTTTCAAAGCATTATTTAATTCAAGATGCACTAAAAAGGGGTTTATTTGATTAGTCAGTTTCACATATATTTAAATTTGAAGTCTCTTCACTATGAGGATTTTTGATGAGACACTTTGTATAAGACAGGCAAAAACATTGGCATATTAAAAAGTGATCTGATCATCTGAGAGAGAAAAAAAACAATAAGATACAAAACTTCATGTCTATAAAAGTAATTAAAAATAAAATGCAATTGATGAATGTTTCTATTTCAGTTACAAAGTTACAGATTTTCCTGGAGAATCAGTTTATTTTATTGATTTCAAGATAAAGATTTGTTTCAACGACAAAGGACACTGTGTGATAGATGCAGATGTATTTTATAATGCTAAAGTTCCAAAGAAAAGGTGTGACTGGAGCAGAGGATATAAAGATATAGGTATAATTGCATATACAGTTAAATTATACATTGATTGTTTAAGAGTAGATAATCAAACTGACTTACAACTATTGCAATTTAAAATGATAGTCTGTTGTAAGTTCAACTCCTCCTTACTGCTAAATGGATATGAATAAAACTTCACACAGCTGTAGACGAACACTACCTGAGAATGTGTATGAAGGATTATAATCTAGGTCCCACATGTTAAAGAAAAAGATTTATAGAACTTTATATTTTCAATTTTGCAATATGCATGAAGGATAAAATTGCATGTTATAATATAATACAAGCTTAAGGCTTGATAATCAAAGTTGGATGAGTACATTCACGGTTCTAGTTCCTTTTTTTAGCATAAAGAGGGCATTTTTTTTATTTCTATAGGCTTCTTTACCTTTAGTGTCGATTGGATGGGTATCGCCATTTGGATTGTAAAGAAGCTGAAAATATCGGTCTTAAAATCTAATTGAATATGCAATTAATTTGTAAGAATTTTCATCCAAATACAAAGAACAATATGTAATTCATCTTCATATATCGACTGATAAATCAGAATAGAGGAATTGAAGCAATAACAGGTGTATAGCTTAATTCAGGTGACAGCTTCGTTGAATTACAAAAGAGTTTCAACACCTGAAATAAAATGTACTTAAAAATTAAAATTGACAGTCGTTAGAAAACTGTTTAGCATGTGTATTCTTTATTCTGTAAAACACGCAATTCAAAATTACAGATTGGTCGTTGGAAAACTGGTACAAGGACCAAGGAATAGGATTGACGAGGAAGTTATCATCGGAAACTACTTTACTTTTGCTCGATAAACTGGGGATAGCAGAATTCTTACTGGACGATCAGTGTGATAGACATGACCATTTCTCAGTGTATGCTTCACAATTTGAAGGATGGACAACAAGTAAGGACAAACTGTAGATTTATTTTTATGATGGATAAAAATAGATTGTTAAATGGGAAAATCAAGAAAAAAAATCAAAAAATGATTTTGGTACCTTTTGTATAAATAAATATAAATTCAATAATGTGAACGTTTTATTCTGTAAAATACGTGAACAAAATGTATTTCGAATCTGACTATTGAACCAGCATGACTTACCGTTGGTCGTCGAGCAGTATCGCAATGATTCGCAGAAATAATACATAAAACTGATTCCTCCTTTCCATTACGGACGTCGATTTAATTCATGAAATCATTGATTGACAAAAATAAAAGATCGATACATGTCACCTAAATCTTTTCTTCCGAGATGACAGGCTATAACGGGGTTTTGAATCTCCCATCTTCATTTCGTCGTCTAAATTCTATCAACTACACCATTGATAACATGTGCCAATATGAGTAGTCAGATTTTGAAAAATTATTGTTACATTTTCATTAAATATTTGAGAAGGGGAAATGTTTTAAATGTAAACTATTTGTTTCCTATTATTTTCTCTGTGTGTTACAACAGGATCAATTGGGTCTGCGTTTGGAATGACAATAAATTGCTTCTTTATTCATAATACAGAAATTCGTTGTTATGACTTAAAATATTTTCTTGTGTTGATACAGTGAAAATGGTTAAACTCCGAAATGTAGTAAAAAAGAAAATTTGATTACGAAAAAAGCTAAGGTTATCTATACCTAGGGTAGAAAATCCTTAGTATTTCGAAAAATTCAAAACTTTGTTTACAGTTTATTTATGATTATGGCAATATCAATGATAATTCATGTCAACTCAGAAGTGCTGACTACTGGGCTGGTGAAATCCTCTCCCAGCAGTAGCATAGACAAAGTGGTTGTAAATAAACGCATCATAGACTAAAGATAAGTGTGCGTGTTTTTTTCTTGATATTTCCTTAATTGTCATATAATGCAGTTCAACACCATTCGTATACATCCTTGGCTTTGAGTGTTCCTGATGAATGTCAATCAGGATCAGCGCTTAAGATTCATGAAATTTATAAAGTGTTGCATTGTTTTCATGTTTTTCAGGTTTTTTCGTAAACTGACGTGTTAGTGCTTTTTCAGGGGAGGACGTGCGACCATTGAAAAAAAATCGATACGTACATAATACAAAAACTGTTCATTTGTAATTCTGAAGATTTTTAATGTAAAATCAAAATTCGATTTGCGTAAAACTATAGAACAATTAAAATCAATCAGGCAAAGCGCATCTTTTAAGCGTAGTTTTAAGTCTCCTCATAAAGATACATATTCGCGTATACGTATTATCCCATAAAATCTATCATCATACAACACATACACGTGTTATTTTAATTATTTCAAAGTTGGATTCAGGAAAAGTTCCACGACTCGCAATATCATCATTGCCTCCAACATCCATTTGAATTGTTGACTTGATTTGAAATCAGCCCAGGTAAGTTCCACACATTCAGATGAAATCATCGATGCATTTAACATTGTTTAAGTAAAGTTTCTTTTAAGATTTTTTTACAAATAATAGGGTGTTAATCACATGCCCTGTTGGCACAGCTCTTTTTTACCGCTATATCTACATATATAAATAACTCTGTATATTTTGTTTAAGATTGCAGATCAAGATCAGTAGAGTTATTACCCTTGGATGATTCTGTGATAACATGTTACCTTGACAAAACATGTTTAAGTTTACAGTGCTGTAGGGAATCAGATTTCATAGGCAGATCATTTTATGTCAGAATAGACATTGACCCTTGTAGCTACATCATGACCTTTCAAATAGAAAAACTTATCATCAATACAACATTAAACGATTATGAATGGGGGAGATGGAGCCACGTGGATCTGTATGGTGTCTTTAGATTGAGGTAAATATTATGAGTATAGGCGTAGACCAAATTAAAAACAAATATGAAAGGCTTTAATTGGTTTCAATTATATGCACTCAAATATGTATAAAAAAGAGATCCGTAGATTTTGAAATATTTAAGTACACCTGTAACAAAAGGCTAGTTAACCAATTTTGATCTGAAACGGTAATTTTGATCTTTTAACATCTGAAAGTCTGAACAATAAATCATTCAGTCATGTTCAGTCTTTCGTTCAATTTTCAGACTTGTACAATGTGGTAAATTCTGTACTGTTCAGATAATTCCCTTGCAGTCAGTTCATTACGATTCAATAGCTTTTCAGACAATTCAGCATAATGTTGATGTGTACAGGCAAATGGCAACTACTGAAACGTCTGAACATAGATTGAACAGATTTTAATTGAGTGGAAGCGAATTGTCTGAACAGTACTGTATTTACCGCAGTGTATAGGTCTGAATATGGGCTAGAAGACTAAAAATTATTTAATGATATATTGTTTATTTTTTCAAGAGCTGTTAAGATCAAACTGGTCGTTTAAGATCGAAATTTGTTTACAAATGATGGCTAGTATGAGGTCATTCATATTAACCTTATGAAAATGAAGAATTATAATTGTGTATTTTTGTTTCTTCAGTCTCCTTTGGAAATTTCACCACTTCATTGGCTAGTCCAAAGAAAGCTTGGTCAGAATCATATTTAAAGTTTCATTTTAAGTGATATGTGTGGTAATCTTGCTGTTCATTCAACATAGATGCTGCCAAATATGAATTTTAAAGATATAGGTATGATGAAGTTTTCTTGATCATAACAATTAAGAGGAGGCAATAGGATGGTTGCGCAATAGATCAAAGATGTTTAAAGATTATTATTTTTCAATAAGCTATCCGTAGATTTTGAAATATTTTAGTACACCTGACGTTATTTGGCATAAATAACAGCATTGTACAATTGACTTTAACATAAGCATTATGACATACAAGAAGATGAAAGGAACATTCCTGTACTCCTATGATAATTTGTGCATTATTTAGTTGTAATTCAATACCTATGATAAGGTAATACCTCACACAATCTGTTGAAATAAGTGGAGAAAATAAGGCAACGGCACAATTCTCTGTGATAGTTTTAAGTCCCGGTTATTGGCATTAAAGAATATGTATGTATGGAATAAGTTTGAAAAGATCAAATAAATCGCGAATTTCTTTTAAGGAAATTTAATGGATGTATTGAATGTTATTTTTATATAGGCTCAGATTAGTTGATCTATATGCAGACGAACATTATTTGATTTCATTAATCCTGAGTTTATGCTGGGAGCCTACTGAATGTGTAGATCATCATATTTTTACAAATGCCGTACTGCCTAAACCAACTTGTGACTGGAGTAATGATTTCAAAGTGAAAGGTAAGACCATTTAAAATTTGGAAATGATATATAATGTTGTAAATGTTTTGACACACAGTACAACATATATGTATTTTTTCTTTAACGAATACAATTATACATTGCCGTATAAATCTAGAGCATGTCATGAAGTCAAGATGTATTTCATATTATTTTCTCCTTATCAAAGATATTTAAATTAACTGGAGTTTTACATTTTAACCTAAATGATCAGGTGCAAAGTTTCAATGTTATTTTATGTGGTATGATGTCAAAAGGGACAAAGATATTAAAGGTCTCAAATAGTTATTTGCAGGTTCATTGCTTATTTTATTTTCCTACAGGCTTTTCACTACATCATTATATGAAAGAAAACGGTTTGACAGCGCTAACAGAACTTGACAAGTCTACAGTCTTGGAAAGACTTGGAATTTCTACATACTTAAAATCAACAGACTGTTCACAGATGTCCACAGCTCAAAAAAGACATGATGGTTTGATAAATAGTTAAGTGTGCTCGCAATAATGAAACAAATATGGTATTTAATTCACAAGGTTAAAAATAAAATGCGAACTTTTAATCACCACTTTGCGGCTATCTTCATCATTGTCCGTCATTCGACTTAAACTTAACCAAAGATCAACTCTTAAACTACAAATCTTTTCAAGCTTTATTTTACTTGATCCTAGGGATATGTAGTTTAAAGTTTGTGTGTTTTATTCCAATAAATTGACAAAAAGGCCACCATCAGTTAAATAGAAATTAAGGGTTAAGTGCATCAATTGTTTTGTTTCTTGAAAACCGTGATAAAAGAGAAAATCTGACAAAGCAAAAATAACTAGAATGTCATGGTCTACCTATTTGAACCAATTGCAAAATTATCAGATTTTTCACGAGCTTGATACAAAATTTGGAAAATTTGGTATTATTGCCAATGAGACAACATTCCAAAGGAGACTGAAGAAACAAAAGATACACAACTATAAGTCACCGTGATACCTTTAACGATGAATAAAACCAATAACGCATACAAACTATAAAAGGTCAAACATGACATATTTAAAACAATCAAAACAAGATAACTTACGGCATGATGTATGTACAAACAGTAATGAAAAACATATGACAATAACTGAATTACGGGTTCCTGGCTTGGGACAGGCACATACACAACTAAATAGAATTTAACATTTTTGCAGGCATCAATATCTCCCCTTACCTGTGTAATAGCACAACGTAAAACATAATATAAAAGTCAGTTGAAAAAGGCTCGACTCATGAAATCGACACAAAGTACGCAAAGTACTAAAGACTTGAGACTCAAAGTACCGATCTGAGAGTACTCGAAGTCACTGAAATCTAGTTCAACTAGTTTAAACCGAAAACATCTGATAAAACAAAATCATGTATCAAAGAATAGAAAAACAATCAGCACACATCCAATTGAATTACTGTTAAAATGTCGTAAACCGTCAAAGAAAAACTTGATCTTGTGCAATGCCAAAATATAAGAATCTACAGAATGTATGACTGTTTGCCTATGATCCAAAATATATGAAAGATAAGTGGAAATGTTTATACATGTACGCAAAGATGATCATAAATACAAGTTTATTAAATATCGAATCAATTGAATGACTCCTAAAGGAGTTACACACATAAAATGACATTTGTTGGCTATATTTTATCTACTACTCGAAAACTATAATAGATAGTAGAAACTGTAAGCAGCAAAAATATCAGCAATGCAACATCAACAAAAAGTCAATACCACAAATATTAATTGATGACTCCTTATGAAGTAACTGTACTTAATGACGATTTTGACCGTAACATGGGTGCAGACTAATCGAATAGTATGCCTGCCAGTAAAGAGCTTGTTAATGTTTAACTAATTAAAATGATAATCTTTTCGAGGACCATGTAACCAATAAACACAAAAAATGACGAAACAATGTGGCACTTTATAAGAGTTGTTACTTGAATGGCAATTTTGGACTAATCAAGTAGAAAATATAGAAAATTCCTCTATCAGGTAAAATAGAGTATGACACAAAATTCTTTGTGAGGCATTGCTTACAGTGTACTTGCAAAAAATGAGATAATTGAATTTACAAAGCATGACTACCGTGTAATATAATAAGGTTTATATGCAAATGAATACGTTTTCAAAGAATAAAATGTGAAACTGAAATTGGAAATATACATAACACACACTTTATTTTAATAGATAAGAGTTGTTGTGTTATTTATTTTATATATTGTATGCGGAAAATTCTATGAAATTTCAGAGTGTCCTTCAGAAGTCAATTTATTTGAAAATATTTCATCATTTGCTACATGCAGAATTCCAGTGAAATGTACTGCCATTGACTGCTGTTTAACATTGCCTTACTTTGGGAGGAAGTTTAACTTCTTCATAGATTTAGATATTTGTGACTTTAGACTTATGATTGGAGTAGAGAAGATCGCTTTGAACTATTCTCTGTTGGACTATGAATGGGGAAAGTTACAGAGTTTAAATGTATATGGTGTCTTTAATGTGAAGTAAGTTTTATGTTCCTAAACATTATGTACTGAAATATGAATATACTTAGCCTATCACAATTTGACATGCTAACCCATCAGTTGTATCATTTTACAAACACTACTTCTCTGATACTTTTTCCCCAAATGCCTTTATACTCAAAATTTTTTTTGACATCCGGTGTATTTAACCTTAATAAACTTATATGTTGATTTGACCATTTTAGCTAAGTTATCGGGTTTCAATCATTTATGTGCCTTGTAATAAAGCTTTGAGAATGCTTTTCCTCTGATAACCTTCTTACCTGTTATTAAAAAAACCTAACAAACATAAACTAAAAAAAAATCTTTGCAAGGCACTCATTGTCTGTTTTGAGTGTTAATTTTCTTTTTGAAAAGCAAAATATAAACGAAGTAAGTTTGTTGAATATGAAAGAGATAGAGAAACCCAGTAACTTTAGTTAAGAAAAAAACATTGAAAGACCCCTGTACGAATATATTACTCCAACAAGAAAAATAAATATAGTATTTCTTTGACCTTCCTTGTTTAAAACCCATTTAATGAATTGTATATTTTCTAACCTGTGTATTGTAACAAAAAAATTCTTTAAGACTATCTTCTTGGATTGCAAAAACAAATAAATACTTTTTTCGTAAAACTATTCTTTTTTTCAAAATGTGTCTTAATTATTGGTCAAAGTGCGTTATGGTTGCTTCTTACACAAACAAATTATTTATTTTTTAACAAGATGTAGTGAATAATGTTGTGTTTAAAATATACTATTTATTTCATCTTTATCAATGGTGCCCTAGGAGTTGATTTTTTGTTCTACATCGTTTGAGTCCATTGTTTTTTTCAGCTACACCATTGACGATTTCAGCAGTGAGAATGTTGTTGTATTTAGTGTAAATGTATCAGTCTGCTTTGAGTCACTTAAAAAATGTGAATTCAGTTTTACTGTGTTGAAAGAAGCAAGACTTGCAAAACCTTCCTGTGACTTTGATAAGACTTTTACAATAACAGGTAAGCTTTCTAATGAAATAAGACAAGTATACTTGCAGTTAATACAGATAATAATACTTAATTAAATACAATTAGTTCATTACTTAATATTATATAAAAAAAAATTAAGTGAGTAAAACTGTTCAATAATTGCTGATAAGCATGTTGAAATGAGTATGAAAAGAAAGTGAAATGTAATTGTTTATAAATATTTAGTTTTATAAGGTTATGTGACAAAATCAAATGTGTCAAGTAAACAGTATAGCTGTACGAGTGTAATTGTCTGCAATTAGAAAGGTAATATCTTTCAATATCTTATTTTCAGACTTTTCTTTGAGGTCATATTTAACTGAAATTGGTTTAGATGGATCTACCTCACTATTACCAGCACACCAAATATCAGAATTATTGCATTACCTAGATATAGCTCAGTTCTTACTTCAAGACCAGTGTAATCAGCAGGAACTACCATTTGCTCCAAGCAAAAATGGATGGAATAAAGGTGATGTACAATATACACACAAAATTAAAAGTGAAATGCCTAATAGTTGTGCATGTGATTATTAGGGAATTGATTATTTAGCATATTGTCTTCATGGGATTGGCCAAACTCTTTGCATAAGCGATGAATAGTTTTTAAAATCTACCCAAATGAAGGTTTTAATTTTTACAGATTTTTTTACCTTTAAACATTGTATTTTGAATATTTGATGACAACAAATTTGTCTTAGTCCTCTTACTCTATTTGGCAAGTAACTGGTTATCATGCACTATGTTTACAAATTTTAGTAGTTCAAAATCTGTACACAATCATAGTCAAACTAAAGAGCCAATTAGAAAGCAAGGAACATGAGGAAAGAAAACATGTAGAAAGCATTTATTTAATCGAATACTTGATTTTGCGGATACTTTTTTGCACATACAAATTCAGGAGAATGGGTTCAGTAATAAATTCACAGTATAGTGTAATAGATGCTTATTTCTTCCCTCTTTGCATCACAATATGCAAGACATAAGAGGAATATTCGGTGCCGGCGTTAGCATTTTGTATACAGTTTCATATTGCAGCAGATGAAAGAGATGAAGTTCCTTATCTTGCATACAGATGCATCAATTGTCTGAAGTTTCCACAATTCTACAATAAGTAATTTGTCAGCTTTATTATTGTTATGGGTTCTGACATTGACCGCATTTTTATGGTCTATGGTATGCCGTTTTATACAAACCACCCCCACTCCTATTTATCTGTAATGATTTTGTTTTTCAATTGAAAGCATTACTCTTGATCGATCTCTGTGTTCTCAGTCATAGCTTACTTCGAGAAAGGCCTCCTTTTTACCAAATATAGAAAGTTCAAGGGAGACAATGTATATTTTCCTTTTACAGGATGCCCGAAACAGTTGAGTCTTCCACCACTTGACAACACAACCAGATGTCATTTACATGATTTTTGTACTGGTGTTACGTGTTGTACAGATGTCAGAATACTTGACAGGACTGTAACAACTTACTTCAAGTTAGATCCTTGTAACTGGAAACTTTTTATTGGGATAGAGAGAATGACTCATACTATAAATCTTTTAGACTACAAGTTTGGCAAGTCAGAACATTTCAAGTTACATGGTCTTATTCACCTTGAGTAAGTATTTATAGATAAAATAATATTTTATGATTCATTCCCTATGACAAGTGAATAGGATCATAACTTAATTATTTTAGGTCGTTTGGTCTTCTGGAATAAAACTGCTGCCCTTCCTTTTTCCCATTGTGCTTTTATATATTAGCTGTTTGGAATATATAATTAGGGTTTGCAGCCGAACTACGGCGGTTTACGTTTAATTTTCCCCCACGCAATAAAGTCGTGAAGTATACAAAGTGTTTAACCGTCAGTCCTGTTCTTGTCATCGCAACTCCTCTGAAACCACACCACAGGATTTCGTGAAACCTATTAGATAACTGGGACATACTATGTAGATGTGTATATCGACAGGAAATTATGATATGCATATTGACAAAAAATTAGAATTTAATGTTTTTTTCTAGGAGTAATGCCTCATTGAAATTGAAATTTAGACTTAAATATACATCTGCAACAGTTTGTCAGCGAAACTTCTCTGAAACCATACACCAATATTTCATGAAACTTTGTAGTTAATGAGTACATAATATGTAGATGTATATATCCACAAGAATGTTTATCAGTTTACTTCTGTAGGAGTTATGAATCTTTGAACTAAGGAATCTTTTTGAAATTTTTTTTTGTCCTGTGACAATGTAGGTGTGTAAGTTATGTGAGCGTGCTCTTAAAGGCTCTTCCCTATCAGAATGCATAGTTTAACAGCCCTGTGATCATCAATATATTTTATTTAAGTAATTACTACATGTTATTGGATATAATGCTGTATCATTACTTAGTTTACTTATTGAATTATAAATGAGCTAGGGTTGTATAATAAGAGTTATCAATCAAGTTTGTGTTCTGTTTAAGACTCTGATGTACTTAGTCTTATTGGTTGCAGTAAGTCTTATGTTTGAAATGATTAAAATGTGTGTTATGCTTTTGATATAGGTCACTTTCCACTATTACTCAAAAAAGTATAGAGAACAAAGATTGACAGTATGGAGAGCTAGCTCAAACTCATACTTATTTGCAGACAAAAAATAAAGTTAACATTTTGTATGCTTTTGAATTGACATTAGAGTGTATGCTTTAATATTTGCCATAATAATATATCAACTAAATGTTCTTTACTGAAATTTCATGTACTAGAATGACGAAATATCTTTATATTTATATCTATATATTTTTTTTTCATTTGTAGTTTTATCATTGAAGAATTTAAGATATCAAGAATGTACATGGTAAACTTAAATTTGAGTGTTTGCTTTGAAACACATTATCCTTGTGTTATACATGTGACTGTGTTGAGAAATACACAATTACCAAAGCGAATCTGTAACTGGAAGAGTGATTTTATTGATTCAGGTAAATTTTGAAATAGATTTATTCGAATATTGCACTAGATTTAAGTTGCAGCTATTCTGACAAAACGTCGGTTCACTTGGGTAGTAAAAGTGTATATATGGAATTAAAAATGTTTTGAAATTTTAACTTATGAATGAAAACTGAGCTATTTTTAGTTAAATTTGTTCAGACATTTTCTCTTTTAAATGTAAACGTACACTCTAAAGGGATTCATTTGTCCGATGAGTGATTTGGGTGCCTTTTAGATTTTAATTTTACATTAGCTTAAGCAAGTGAAAACAAATTAAATCAAGGCCGCAAATACATTTATTGTTCCTGTGTAAATATGATTTAATCCACATGCCATTAGGTTTTTCAGTCTTGATTGTTTCTACATTAGAAAATGCCTGTACCAAGTCAGGAATATGACAGTTGTTATCCATTTGCTTGATGTGTTTGAGCTTTTGATTTTGCCATTTGCTTAGGGACTTTCCGTTTAGAATTTTCCTCGGAGTTCGGTATTTTTGTATTTTATTTTTGACCAAAGGTTATTCAGATTGATTTTTTTCAGATTTTTCATACCGAACATTTTTACAAGAAAAAGGACTACCAGAAGATCAAACTCTAACTAACTATCATATGAAAGATTTGATGGAAGAATTAGGGATCAGTGAATTTCTGCAAGGACAAGAGTGTTATAAAAGTCAGAGATCATTGTCTTCATTAATGAATGGATGGGAAAATGGTATTTTATTCATTTTTAAACCTCCCCCTAAAAAAGAAGAAATGTATAGAGACTCTTTTCAATGTTCGAGAACTACATCATAAAAATAAGGAGATGTGGTATGATTGCCAATGAGAATACTATCCACTTACATATAAGTTCAAATGATGTAAATGTAAGCACTTAGAGTCACCAAACAGCCTTGAACGCTGAATTATACCCAGTTTATAGTATTTTGAATATTAAACAGAAGGGAAAGACAATCTCTGTTTTGTTCAATCAGCCTCCACAGTGTTTAACCAAAAGCCTGCAAACATTTGGAAAGTTTGTAATTACGTTTGACGATGGGCAACTTATCTTGTATAGATTAATTCAAAGAATTTTTGCAGGAGATTTTCTAGTGATATAATGAGTAGGTTTTTATAAGTATTCTTGATAGATTTCCTTTTTTGTAGCCAACTGTTCCTTTAACACAAAGCCTGCAAATTTTCTTGAATGCGTGTGTAAGCATTAAAGATTTACTTCCCACTTTGTTTACCCATTTAGAGAACTTTTGCTGTTTGTTAGAGTGATGAAACTATTAAAGTAAAATTTCAACAAACGTATTTTCAAGAATTTTTGAAGCTGTGTATCTGATTGACACGTATGAAATTTCAGTTTCTGCATGTATTTTCGATATATTAAATTGTTTGCTCCATTTCACGTCAATTGCATATCATTATTACAGAATGTAAAATACCAATGTCAAAGCTGCCTAAAAATCCAGAATTCGTTACGTGTAAAATTAGAGAATCCTGTACATCTTTAGAATGTTGTTTAATCGCTGGAAAACTTGGTAGATCATTTAAGCTATTTATAGAAATTGAACCATGTCTTTTCCAACTGAGATTAGGTATAGAAGAGATGACTTTTAGCCTGCTTTTATTTGAATTTGAATGGGGACAACCAGTTGAGGCCTGGTTGTTTGGTCTTGTGAGAATGAAGTAAGTAATTTTGAAAAAAAATGGTATTGTGCCAATATCTATCAACAGCTATTATCACAATTAATCTTAAGAAAAAAGCAATGACTAGTCCAAAAAATCAGCGCTTATTTAATTCTATGATTAGCTATCAATTTTCACCGAATTTAACAAAAAAGGCAAAAAGTAAAATCACAAAAATACTGAACTCCGAGGAAAATTCAAAAAGGAAAGTCGCCAATCAAATGGCAAAAACAAAAGTTCAAACACATCAAACGAATGAAATTTCAAATATTTTCGGGACTTTTTTTTGTTCTAATGAACAAAAATATCTAACATGAATATGTAGTGTGTGGAACCCTGTTCTATACTTTTCATAAATTTGAATTTAACTGAAATTAGGAGATTTTGCCGAATTTCAACCAAATCTCTAGTATTGGCCTATTTTGTGAGTAAATGCAATCTTCATTAGCAAAATTCTACTAAAATCTTTTCTATTTCACTTTCTAACATGTCAATTTATAGAATTGAAACACTTTTCTTCTTGAAATAATGAAATTGGATTTGAGCCAAATTATGTCTACTCTACTCCTTTATTAAATTTTTTTCAAAACTATTGATATTATAGAAGTTGCAATTTGTAATTCACATAGCTCAATATAAGCTATTGCCATTCCGAACATTGAACGGATGATAACATTGTCTTTTGTGTTTTCTTTGTTGAATTTAATGTTTGCCTTTTAGATTTACCTTTACTGACTTAAGTGCCGAAAATCAGTATTTGTTTGACCTTTCTGTAAGTGTATGTCTGGAAGCTGCGAAAACAGAACCGTGTTATATTGTTGTTAATATCCTGGAAAAATACAGACTACCAAAACCAAAATGTGATTGGAATACTAAAATTTCAGTAGCAAGTGAGTATAAATATCATATAAAAAATAAATAATACTACACTTACAAATGTACTAGAAGCGTACAAATGGAAATATGGTAAGAATGTTATTTTTTTCAAATGCCATGTTAAAGGTATTATACACTGTTTAGCTGAGTTAAAGTACCAGGTCTCACGTTTGAAAAACCATCAAGATTTGCAAATCTTCTAAAACTTTTTAAAAATCAGGATTTTTTTTTTTATTTAGGACAGATATTGAATTGTGTGATGTATGATTAATGTGTAATAGAATGGACTGTTCCTTTGAATTTTTGTGTGTATTTTTGCTGTGCCTGTACTGACTTCGTGTCATTAGTGCAAACCCCATAGTCTTTGTTTTTCTATTGAAATTCATCCAACACTTTTATTTTGCATAATTATTTTTCTTGTAAACTTGTAATTTTATATTAGCCATAAAAATTCTGTTGTTTTAGATTTTTCTTATGCTAAATGGTTGAGAGAAAAGACGGTAAAACCAACTAAAACCCTTGCACCTTACCTGACATCTAAACTGTTATTTGACATGAAGGTTGCTGCTTATTTGAAGGACACCACTTGTCATTTTAACATTCACATGGGAAATAAAACGTACAATGGATGGACCAATGGTAATTTATACATACTTTTTTAACGTGTGTAGCTTTATATTCTAAATTTTGGGCTTTAAATCCAGCAGCAAAAAAAGATTTCATTTTTATTTAGGGCAATACCATTTTAATGATATACACATACTTGTTTTGAATAAGACTGAAATGATGTGTCTGATACCCATCTTGCTGTCTCGGTTTGACGTATTGCATGGACTACCTGGCATCTATATTAGTCCATACTCATAAAAGATGAAAGCATCACTTTATAATTATCATCTATGATCACTGCAAGTATAACATGCACATAAGTAAGAAGTTTTATGAAGTATTAGATCAACAGATGTAATGATTAATGGAGAAAAATTGAACTAAGAATTATTTACGAAAAAATCATGGTACATATATCTTTAATTTTAGGCTTAGCTTAATCTTCTCATAGCTGTTGATTTCCTATGATGGACTTTACTTTCAGAATGTAGAGAAATTCTTCATCTGCCAAATTTACAAAGTAATATAAATTGTCATCTTGGTAGAAATTGTACTCAGTTGGATTGCTGTGTCCATGTTCCTCTACTGAACAGAACATTTACTTTCTATGTTTATATTGATCCATGTTATGAGACATTTATAGTTGGCATAGAGAAGCTGTTCAGAAAAGTCAAACTTTTATCTTATGACTTTGGGACCCAAGAACATTTTAATCTTTTAGGAATATTAAAACTTCGGTATGTATTTTCCTGTAATTTAAGTGTATTTAAAATTATTATAAAATGACAATAGTGTTTTGTCTTAAGAAGGTAAACAATATGTTTTATTATATTCTGATAATTTGGGAGGACTTGACACATTATGTTAAATTTTGTCTAAATAATGTATCAAATAAGGTGAATTTTGTAAAGATGATTTGAATGTAATGTTTATAGCTACTTTTGTAATATTGTTCTAAATTGAAATCCATTTGTAATCACATTATAGTAATAAGAATTCACATTTAACGATTTAAAAAAGGTCTAGAATATGAATTTGATTAAAAATGAAACAGATAAGATGAATGAGTTTTAAAAGAACATGGTGAACTATTATAATTCCCATACACATGCTATGGCTGTTCATCAAATTACTGTTAAAATATTTATTATACAAAACAATTACTTGATCTAAAAATGCTGACCACATTTCTTAATTACAGTAGAATAATTGTGTTCTTGTTAACCCCCTAAATGAAGCATCATGATTTTAATTATTTAATACAGATACAGTTTGTATGATTTCCAAAGTGAAGGAATATACATCATGAATTTAACATTTAGCTTTTGTTTGGATGATACATGTGACAGTGAAGATAGCTTTTCAGTGCCTGTGCTGGAAAATGTTAAACTTCCAAAACAAAAATGCCATTGGAGAGATAGTTACAGAGTTAAAGGTGAGGCTGAATTTGTTCTTAATCTCATTTTCATGATTAAGCGTGTGCTTAAAAAACTGTATTTTATTGTCAAGGAAAGAAAAAGGTATACTATAAAGCCACTTTTTTACATCTTACAAAGTTCTTGAATTGTGTGCAAATCTAAATCTGCATAAACACCCTCAATAGCCTAATTTTGAAATATTAGCATTAATATTTAGATTTGAACAACAGCTCAAACAATGTTTGCTTTAAAATGTATTTTACCCAGATGTTATTGTGTTTTAAATATATCTTTCAGGGTAAGGATGGTGCTTATATTTTTTTAGTCTAAAAACTATGTGTAGAACTCTTTGAAACCGTAAATTCCAAAACGATGTGCCAAATAAGGCAATAATACATATAAGGGTCAAATCAGGCAATTATATATATTGGTCAACTATGTTTGGTGTTTGCAATTGTTGCATGGTTTATCTGACCTTGACCTCATTTTCACAGTTCGTTTGCCAAAGTTTAAGCTTTCATGATTAGGTGTACTTTTCTGATACAGTAATAGATAGGTTAACTATAATTTATTTGTTGTAGGCAATGATTGCAAGATTTAACATCTGGCCTTGACCTCATTTACATGGTTTTATTGACCAAGGTTAAGATTTTTCATGGGTAATGTCTGCTTCTCGGATACTTTAAGCAAAATGGTCAACTATATTTAGTGTATGGAATGATTGCAAAGTCTACATTATAAAAATAAGGAGATGTGGTATGATTGCCAATGAAACAACTATCCACCAAAGTTCAAATAATGTGGATGTAAGCAATAATAGGCAACCGTACGGCCTTCAATAATGAGAAAAACCCATACCATATAGTCGGCTATACAAAGCCCCGACATGAAAAATATAAAACAATTCAATTGAGAAACTAACGGCCTAATTTATAATAAAACAATTTACGAAAAACAAATATGACATACATGAAGCAACGACAACCACTTAACTACAGGCTCCTGACTTGGAACAGGCACATGAAGAATGTGGCGGGTTAAACAAACCTAACAACTCAAAAGACGCTAACTACATATCTGAGACTACTCGCAGTTATTGACAGCTAGTTCAAAGCCAAAAACAACTAATAAAAAAACCATGTATCAAAGACTTAATTATCAATCAGTACACATCCAACATCCAATAAATTTAGTGTAAAGACGTTATTAACAGTCAGAGAAAACATGACCTTGTGCAATGCCAAAATATAGGGTTATACTTAGCTTGACGTATTTTTCATGGTGCATTAGTCACCATTACGATTTTTTGGTTAAGTCTTTTTCTCAGATACTATATTTAATATGTTAACTTTTGTTGGTGACTTAACTGATAGGTGGTGTACATGTCTGTCTTGGCGGTTCATCTGATATTTTTGTGCTTCGGGCGCATGAAATTTATAAAGCGTAGTTTTTATTTTTTTCATGGTTCATTGGTCAATATTATGTTTTGGTGGTTGGTTATGTTTCTCTTATACTATAAGCAATATGCTACATGTAACTATGGAAGCTGTATGGAATGATTGTAAGGTGTATATTTTTGCCTGGCTAGATTTATCTGACCTCGATCTCATTTAAATAGATCATTGATAATGTTAAGTTTATGTGATACTTGTAGTAAAACCTTTCCACATGAATACAATCATTAAATAGTGATCAGTGAAGAAGGTGAGACATTTCAGTGTATACACTCTTCATTGTTGTGTAGTTATCTCACATAAGATTTCATAACTATATTACCTAATCTTATGTTTGAACTTTGGATTCCGACATAAGAGCAGTGACATTCATACACCCCAAATATAAACATTTTGGATAAAGTTGACAAAATATTCTGAATTTCAACCTCACATACAATACAGTAGGTTTGACAACTTAATATTCAAGTTAATCGTATTATGGGTTATATAAAACATACTGCGAAATTATTTTTTTTTTGTAAACACACATTCTTTATCTTTCAGGGCTTTAAAAAACAAGTGACCTTGTTATTGAAATTGTTTGAGAATTAGAGTTTATCCCAACTATGATGTCTTAAAATGAACTGATGTGTTAATTATAAACAAGAAGGCATATTTCCTTTTTAATCGCTATGAAGTGCTTGGTCCTTTAATCCTTATGTTATTCAGTCGTTGAGAATATTTTTGGCTTTGATTTTAATTAAATCAATGTCAAAGCTCAAATTAAATCAATGTCAACGCTCATGACTTTTACTAAAAGTGACTGATTGATATACATATGTTTGAAAGCAAAATAATGCTCTCAGGATGTTTTGATAATAAGATTCACTTTTAGCAGGATGCTTATGATGTATTTGATTCTTGCTTTGTAGATTTTTCTTTAGGACAGTGGTCAAAAGAAAAGAATACGGAACAATCATCAGTACTTCCTGACTACTACATTTCTGAATTGTTGGAACAGTTAGGACTGACATATTATTTAATGGAAAAACAGTGCAGAGTAAATAATGAAACTAATGGATGGAAATCAGGTGATTCAATTTGAAATATAGCAACGTTTTGAAAGCTTAATAAATCTGCTGATTCACTTAACGCAATATCACAATCAGCTTGACTGTCTTGACTAATTTATTTGTCTAAAGTTTGAATTCATTTAAAAAATTAGTCTGTAGAATAAAAAAGTTTGTATGAAAATATCACAGAAAAGGAATGTTACTACCGCACATGTTATCTTAAGAACTGAGTTTAACAAGTATGCAACCGTTTTGGAACTTTAACCATTTTTTACGTATTAGAGTTTTTTTTTGTCATGTTTTGATGTATGGTTGACAATTTTGTGATAGGTTATTGAAGTTTGACATTTTTTTTTACCTTTTGTAGCATTGTGGCACTTTGTGAACACTACTGCTATGAGATTATATATATATATATCCAAAAACTTTCATACTTAAAAATATTGCTGGTCGTCATATTTATATACATGTATATGCACATATGATGTTGAAAATACTATACAGCATTTTGATTTTACTGTTTTTGCATGACTTCTTGGACTTTGACAGTTTTGGACTATTGTAACATAATGACAGTTTCTGAACTTCAATTCTCTGCGACCGTGTGTCAAAAGCTTTTATATTTCAATAGTAAATTGTTTCATCATGAGTAACACTATTTTCAATTAAATAAAATTTGATTGTAACATAATGACACTCTGAGACCTTATGTATTTCTCATTACCATGAGCCTTTTCTGATAATTCGGTCGGCAAACAATATAATTGTACATGCAAATACAGTATTATACACACATTTTCATATGGTAAAGATATGATTTTTTGAGAGAGAAAACATATTGTCCGATATTCAATAACATTCAATTAAATTTTTTCCCCTTGCCCAGTGATATTATGCCAACCGAGGATAATAAATGTAAAGTTTAAACCTGACGACCTCTCACTCCCCAATATTTAATAGAATAATAAGTTGTCTACCATGATAAATCCCTATTTCTTTAATTGTCAGTCCATCAACTTACGACCTGAAATTTTATGTGTCTTAAGTAGTAATAAAATCAGATGAGTACATGTAAACAGAATAGATATCTGTATACTTTATTTGAGTTATTTCATCTCAGTGATATATCAAACTTTGTACATTATTTTCATTTTGTTAGAATGTGCTGAACTAAAATTTCGAGGGACCATTAGGAAATACATGTTTGCCTTGAATATTTAATCCTATGCTATGGCAATTTTTCAGTCTTGCATATGACCATTGTTTCATTATAACTTGTATATCTCCAGTAGAGAAATCCTTAATGAATAATTAATAATTTATTGGTTCTATTGTTTTAAAGACTGTTTATCTGATGTAGTCCTTCCTGATCTATCACGATACCCGATAAGTTGTCAGCTATTGAACAACTGTACAGATGTGATGTGTTGCATAGATGTACCATTCATCAAAAGAACATTTCAAGTTTCATTTGGAGTTCACCAGGATGATCGGCTGTATTCTATTGGTATTGAAAAATTAAATTTTCGAATACCATTTCAACATTTTACATTTGGTAAGTAAGTAAAACAGTTCCAACAGATTACATTCAGTAATGCCACGCAAAATCGTTCGTCAGATTTTCTTCGTGTTACAAAATGTAACATACATGTATCTTTTTTATAACCAGCATCCAATGTTGGATACAAATTTACCCATCAAAAAAGTAAAAGTTTAAAATATATATGCTTGGTGTTGATTTCGTCCGTCTTCGTGAAGTTAACGAAATGCATGAACTTGTCTTATAACAGGTCTTGATTGCAATCTTGTTTCTTTAAGAATCTTATTGCAATTTTGATGTCTAGTGAGCTTTGATAATTTTTATATCCAAATGTAGACATTTTGGCCATTGCTTAAGTGGTGAAGGCAAGCCTTTAGCGTGCTGTTTTCAGTGCGGTGGCGTGAAAAATGTATAAGTTTGTGATGAGTTCAGGTTAAGGGTACTTCTAGTAGTAATTCAATGGTATTTTGTATGCAATTGATCTAACATTTAAATATCTGATCTCCATGGAGATTATTCTGCCTTGCCCCTAAGTCATGGGCATTGGAACTAGTAATATGCATAATGAATATGAAAAAATTTGTGGATGATTATGTTAGTTTAAGATTAACTACTAAAGTAAAATCAATGATATGTGGTATGCAGTTTTATTAGCATTTACAAGTCTTTTTTCCATGGAGATTAAATGGCCCTACACCCTCAGTCATTATTTTGTTGACTTTAATACTTTTGCATAGTTTACATGTGAGTTTTATTCACTTTTCTTTAAAAGTTACCTCTTATGCTCACCTGACCAAAGGCCATATGAGTATTTGCCATCATTTGGCTTCCATCAAATCCTACTGTCTGTTTTATTTTCATATATGAAATTTCACATTTAAGAAGCACTGACCACACAGAATAAAACCAAATTTCGTCAATAAACATGACTGCACTTTTTATAATTTCTGTTTGGCTGAAGATCAACATTTTTTTGTTAAAACGCTTTACCAAGTTTACTGAATTTGACAAATATGTTTCTGTGAAGTTTTAACTGCAAAGGTCAAAGTAAAAATTGAAATCAAATGGGAAATTACATCATGTTTTTCTTTTGTATAACGCAGGATGGAGTAAAACGAAAACAAGCCATGTAGAAATATTTCTTCAAAATTTCTTACCAAACGTAACGTAGTTTCTATTGTCCTAATGAAAACATGGTTTCATGAGGAGCAAAGAATCTAACTGGTCTGATTTCAAAGATCATCTGGAATCGCTTAACGAATGTTGTGAATTTTTGTTTCGCCTGAGACAGAACAAGTGGTAACTGAAAACACTGTCTCTTGTTGAAAGTCAATATACTACAAACCGTCTGTGCAGAAGTACGATTTAAAATCATAACAATAATTGTACTTAATAAATCATAAAAACAAGTTTTAAAATACACTTCAAAGTTCTCATTAAAATGTCCTTTCATTATATTGCAAAATCAGTTTTAGATATACAAAAATATATTGCATCAAGCAGTGGAAATAAAAAAGAAGGAACTCAACCGGCTTAATTTTTTTTTTCTTTACAGTTAATGATCATGAGTATATTTTAAATGGCATTCTGAGATTAAGGTAAGACCTCATTAGTTATTGTATTAATGCCTTTACCTTTATGACCTCCAATAAAAACTGACCGCTACGAAATAGAACAATAGTGTTGAAAGAGGTGTTTAACACCAATCAATCAATCAATCAATCCACCAGCAAGACAGTTATCTCGCAGGAAAACAACTCTTTTTCCCCTGTTTTCATTGTATTAAACAAAATTATACAGACCTACAAATTATAAATTTGGGAACTGCAATAAGTCAAGAACTCTTCTCAAACCAATAGTTGAATATTGGTGAAATTTCATGATTAGGCTGTCATTTATAAATACGGAAGGTGACTAAAATTTGGCATTTACATTGTAAAGCAGTGTTTGACAGACAAAATTGGTTATTAATTTTGAATTGTTTCCACGCAATAACTCGAGAAATGTTCAACCATTTGTTTTTATTTGTATATGTTTTTACTAATGATGACATAATGTAGGTCATGTCGAATATTTACTATTTTCATTTTTGCCATTCAGAAGTTATTGTCCTTGATTAATTTGAAAATAAAGTTCGTAATAAACATTCAGAATAATTGATCTTATACTTTCTAAATTTTGATTTGATATTTCTCATCCGACAAAATTGAGGTCAAGATAGGTTCTAAAGATTGTCACGTTTGCTGTTCCCTGGTGATGTGGCCTTGATTGATTTTGATGTGAAAAATATGTATTAAAATCCAAATTATTGGAGTATACGATTTGATAAGGTATAATAAATAGATGTGTATAAAATAGTTTATTCAAATGACAAAAAGGAGGCAAACAGTTCATCAAAGTGCAGTCAAAACAGTTATTTTTATTGAATACTTTATACTTTTTAACTTAATACTCTAACTATCAATTTCCAAACTTTTTCCCTTAGGTATAACATTGTAGACTTAGCGAGTTTAAACCAGTACCTTGTATCGTTTGAAGTCTCTATGTGCTGGGAGAGCTACAAAAATTGTGATTGGCAGGTGATGATATTGGACAATGCAGTATTACCAAAAGGGATACAAAACAGACATATGGGTTATGCATTAAAAGGTATAATTATGAATTTAAGTAAAATGTTTGTAAAGGAAATATCAGTTTTACTATAAATACTAATTAGACAAGCATAACGGGAATATGTGTATATTCTTAATTATGCTTGTAATCTTTTAGATAATTGATTTTCTTTTTATTTTTGAAAATTCATAAAAGCAATCACAACTAAATGAACTTGTCTATTTTTTATGGAGAAATGATAAAAACTATTATTTGGCCTCTGAAATTTAAAAAAAAATCTTCGATCCTTACAAAATTACGTTAAACAGTCAGGGGTATTACTTAAATAAGTAGCTTTTACTTACAAAAGTTACTTTGTAAAAAAAAATTTGTAGGTGTCTATTCGTATAGATCTTACTAGCTTTAACAAATTTGCACAGACATCTGGCTAGTTTTCCCAATGAAATATAAAAACTAATCCTCCTGAATCACTAATTGCTTTTCTGACGCACTTATCGTTCATATCGACGCTTCTTGTTCAAAGATTGGTCCCTTGGGACTATCAAAATATCATTTTCATTGAAAATCTTGAGGTAGACAAATATTTATAGATAGAAACTTGTGATTGAATAAAGACTTGAAGTTATTTATAATTTGTGACCCAAAACAATTACATGTGTTCCTAAAATAAGTGTAATTACTAATTCTTTCAAAGATGTATAAAGTAACTTAAACAAGTAACATTTTTGTCATTATTTGTAAAGTAACTTTGTATCTCAATACTTCTTTCAAATTTAAAAAATTCTTAATTTTATGTGATAAAATGCTGTAAGATTTCATAAAAAAAACATTTAGTTCATGCATCTAAAGAAATTTAAAATAAATTTATTGAGTAATGTGATGATTTTAAAAATTATTAAATTACTCAACAAAAAGTCCATGCTTCTAATGAAATTTAAAATAACTCTATTGAATAATTTAATAAGTTTATAAATTATTAAATTACTCAACAAAAATTACCTTTACAAGTAACTAATATAATATTTGACACAGTATGGCTTTTGGAAAGCTATTGAATAGATTAATGAGACGTTTCAATTTTTTAAATTTAAGGGGGCCAAGGAATAATTTTTTTCGCATGTACCTCCTCCTTTTGTATATCACAAGCAAAGCAGATTTTTGTACAATGAGTAAATCTCCTCTGTAATTATAACTTAAGAGTGTAGATATGATTACAAATCTATATATATTTTCTTTTCATATTTTTCTTCATGCAATTTTTTCTGATGTATTATTTATAGAAAATATCTTAATTCTAGGATATTCGTTGACATCCTGGGGCATTAGCAATAGTGTTGACATACAAAACCTAAATAACTTTGAAAAGTCACTTTTGTACAATGACCTAGATATTGGATGGTATTTTTCTTTGAAATGCAAAGGAGGAGAAAAAAAGTTGTCTGATGAGACCAATAGTTCAGGTGAGTGTATTTAAACTTATTTAAAAATCCCGATGATCAGAAATGTTTGTTCAATTAAATTTTATAACTACTGTAAACTACTCAAATGTTGGTTCTGATGTCAAATTCCCTTGCAACCATTAAGTAATATGTTTTGTAATTATTGTGAGAAAGCTTACATGTACCTTAATAGCAGAACAATATATTTCTGAAGTTTTGAATTTGTTTTTGAATTTTTAGATAAGCCTCTTTTATTTGAAGGTTAGTTTGTTCAATTGACTGTTATGATTTGTCTACTCTTTATATTACACTACCACATAATCTTATTAAATGGACATTTTTAATATTTGATAAATAGTTTTTTAAAAAAATCCCGAAAATTTTATATCTATGGATTTTATGTATACATAGGCACCTTTTTGTTACAGAAAATTATACATCATCGGTGAATGTCAAGGTTTTTCTGAGTTTTTAAGGTTAACAAAATGTACAAAAGCATCATGTTTTGACAACATATTCAAATTATGCAGAATTTGGATAATGTTTTTATCCCTTATGAAGAGACATGTTTTACTTAGCATTAAGGATTTTAGACATATTTGATTACCAAAGAGTGGCGTAATATTTTATAATAAGGTTGAAATTCAAGGCTAAATTTTGTGTGAATTGGTCCTTTTATACCATTAAAACCGAAATTTGTACGTCAACAATATGGGAAAAGGCACTTTAAAGAATAAAAATGCATTTTTGCCACTGTTTACAAATGTTTCACCTTTGTTGAAATAACTGTTTATCTGGAAGTAAAATTCCTACATACATATTTTTTGTTATATTCAATGCATACAAAATTTCATACAAATCCCAAATATCACCCAATCATGTATATATAAATACGAAGATGTGGTATGAGTGCCAATGAGACAACTATCCATCCAAGTCACAATGTGTAAAAAGAAAACAACTATAGGTCAAAGAACGGCCTTCAGCACGAAGCCTTGGCTCACACTGAACAGCAAGCTATAAAGGGCCCCAAAATGACGAGTGTAAAACAATTCAAACAGAAAAACCAACTGTCTAATCTATATAAAAACGAGAAACGATAAACACTTATGAACCACACCAACAAACGACTACCACTGAACAACAGGCTCCTTGTCTTAAAATGATTTTGACCAACACAGTAAGATTGATAGTCACATTTTTTTTTCATTTTCAGGTTGTAGCGACAATGTATTGGCTGAACATATTCCTTGTCAGTTTATACATACATGTACGGAGATTCAGTGCTGTATACCAGTACCAGTCCTACAAAGATCATTCTATTTTAGCCTAAATCTGGACGTTTGTAACTATAATTTAACAGTCTACATAGAAAATTTGGTGTACCATCAGATGTTGTATGATTATGAATGGGGTACAGAGGACAGTTTCTGGTTGAAAGGTTTATTCAGAATTAGGTAAAATGTTTGATAGTATTTATATGATTTATATATGAACGGAATTATATTTGCAGTAAAACATGTCCATCGATATATTATCAAAAAGGTAAAACAAAAATCAATATGAGAGAAAAACAAGCCAGACTTTGAAACAAGAGACTGATTGATCTATTTTTGGGTGTATTTTAAAGTTTTGCTTCTTCCATGCCTTGGCTTTTCCTTTTTCACCTTTATGGTTACTTTAGGAAATTCAAATCAGTTTCAAGTCTTTATTATTTGTTTCATCCGGAACAACTCCCATTAAATGTAAACAGTTCATGGAAAACACAGCGGTTATAAGCCATGGCCTTCATATGCAATTGAGCTCGTTTGTTCACATATATGATTCAGGAATTATTCAAAATGTATTAGTCTGTGAATAGTCACATCAAGGTAATGTTTGTCTTGGAAGACATATTTGTAGTCGCCAACATCGCTTATTAACATACACTCCCAAACCCATCAGTTTGTTTCTTTTAATCGGTGAATAGGTTTGACCTTATTGAACATTTGTAATATTTCATATCTCTATTTTTGTGATGGAAAAAGGCGAACTGCCCTCAATAAAGCCATGTTACAACAATTTAAAAAAAAACTCCATAACGCACAATTATTTTAGAGTGAACTTACTCTTGATAAAAAGATGAAGTAAGGTTCCAACTTCTACAAATGATCACTTTGCCCTCAAAACCGCTGCTTAATAATGTGTTTGGAAGTCAGTAGTTTATAATATTTATTTTTCTGTTTTAATTTTTCAGGTTCAAGATATATAACCTTAGGCATGCAATGAAAGTTAGGATGACTTTATATATAGATATTTGCTTGGAGGGAACCCCAAACTGTGCAATATCATATTTAATCTTGAATCATACTGATCTTCTTAAAGCTGTTTGTAGTTGGAAGCAATCATACTTGAGGTCTGGTAAGTCTCAACTTATATAGTCATAAAACAAATGTTTGATATCATTTTCAAAAGTTTCTGATCCTGAAAAGAATGATCATTCATGGCAGCAAATGAGTCACTGCCTTGAACAGTTTTTTGTATTTAAATTTTTATGATGGATTTGTTGAAATGGCTACTCTTGCTTTCTGCGAAAATAAAACGCATAAGTTAATGTTGGATTCGTAACAATAAATTGCTACTATATTTCTCAGACCCGAGCTAAGTTTGGCATTGAAAAGCAACTCTCGTTACTTCAATATAGATATCTTACTCTATCAGTGGGGATATTTGCACTCACCTTGTCTGTCTGTTCGTCCAACACATATTTTCGTCATACTTTTCTCAAGTACTCAGTCCGCAGCTTGGCAGTGCAGAGCTGTAAAATATGAGTGTTTTTGGGATCTATCAGAAACCCATTTCCTGCTTTCCTGTATGCTGAATAACTAGTCAGGATATTCTTATCACAACAACGTGTACATTCTTGTTTGAAAATGCTTTTTATTTTAAATTTTGCTCTTAATTTTTTCTACAGAAAGCAGAACTCAAGATTTGAAACAGATGTTAGTCATGATAAAGGATGGACCTCTGGCTGATTATCAAGTTTATAAGTTACTGGAGGAAAGTAACATTGGATACCATCTAAGCAAAGATGAATGTAAAATACCTCAAACTATGTACAAATGGAATAATGGTACATATAAGTATTATCGCTTGTCATAACGATGATTTTCATTATGTATTTCAGAATGTTTACATTATAAACCATAAGGTTTATCGACAGGATGTAGGTATTCCTATGGGCACCAATTAGTCCCATTTGATAGCAGGCTTGTTCTTGTACTATAATGAATCATAGTGTACAACCAAACTCAGTAAAGACCCGTCTTAATTGCATTTAATTGATAAATTCAACAACACTTAACTTTATCTTGATGATATTTTTTCGTTAAATAATCAAGAATTTTCTTAATATGCTGCCGAAATTTACCCAAAGGAACTTAATTTAAATAAATCAAATTTAAACGTTAATAACTATCCTTTCCTAGATTTAGATACTTCAGTTTTACACGGGAAACTTTACACTAAAATTTTCGACATTTCTTTTGTGGACAAATGTTGGATGGTGATGTTCCTTGGGCACCATCTTACGGTGTTTATATATCACAACTCGTTCGCTATGTCCGTGTCTGTTATGATGTTTTGGATTTCAATGAATGTAATCTATGTATTACTGGTGAATATTTAGTCAGGGATTTCGTTACCAAAAATTATTTAAAACCTTTACTAAATTTTTCCATAGATATAAAGATTTGGTTCTGAAGTTTGGTTGTACCTGTAGAAAACTTATTTCAAACGGGATAGCACATCCTAATTTTTTCGAAGATGTTGGAAATTTAGATACGATCCGAGAATACTTATCGATCCTTAAAATTAACTCATTCTTAAAGGTTACCAATTCAACACTGTGATTAGATCTTTGAATATTGTTTTTATTGGTATTAATATTGATTTTGTTATCAGTAATTTAAAATGAAGCTAAATATTATTTTTATATACATATACACACTCATGGCTCTACAATCTGTCGATACATGTATCTTGTCATTGCACCAGGTCATGTTTTACTGTTAATGACGCCTTTCACTAAATCCATTGGATGTTGGATGTGTACTGAATGATATTTTAGTCTTAGATGCATGATTTTGTTTTATTAGTTGTCATTGGCTTTGAACTAGCTGTAAGTAGCTGCAAGTACTCTCAGATCTGTACTTAGTGTCTCTTTGTTGTGGAGATGTATAAGTTCCCTGCCACGTCCACTCTGTGTTTTTGTTAGATGTATTTCTATATGTATCCATCTGATGAGTTGAGCCTTTTTCAACTGATTTTTATAGTTTGTTCTTATGTTGTACTGTTACACCACTATCTCAGATTAGGGGAGGGTTGGGAGCCCGCTAACATGTTTAACCCAGAAACATTCTGTATGTGCCTATCCCCAAGTCAGGAGCCTGTGATTCAGTGGTTGTCGTTTGTTTCTGTGTATCATATTTGTTTTTCGTTAATTATTTTGTATAGAAATTAGGCCGTTAGTCTTCTCGTTTGAATTGTTTTGCATTTGTCATTTCGGGGACTTTTATAGCTGACTATGCGGTATCGGTTTTGCTAATTGAAGGCCGTACGGTGACTTGTAGTTGTTAATTCTTTGTCATTTGATCTCTTGTGGAGAGTTGTCTCATTGGGAACCATAACACATCTTCCTATTTTGATAGTATATTTTGCCATCTGATTTTTTAATGAAATTAACCGATTTGGTATGATTTCCAATGAGACACCTATCTATAGACAAAATAACATAGATGTTACCAATTTGCTACGAAAGATTTAGAAACTTCAGTGTTATTTGTTCATAATCAGGCTTTACTTTACCTAAAAGTAAATTCGACTTTCATTGGTGTTCTTCTGAGCTTTATAACTTTTACTTGACATCTAATTCTTACTGTTATGACATACGTTTCACTTTAGAAAAACAATTATATTTGCCAATTTTCAACAAATGATCAGAATGACTGCGAATTCGGAAAAGGAATACAATTATTTACTATATATATAGTAAAAACGTTTTGGATGATTTGTGCTGGTTTCTATGGTCGAGGATTGAACTCCGATTATAGTATTAATTTATTTTTTATCTATTAGGTTGTTCTACCTTAACTTAATTCTGTTTTACTGATTTAGTTAATGACTTGATCTTGTTTTCTTCATTTTTTTTTTAATTTCATTACAGCTTGTCCACATTACCTTCAATTAGGTGTTCTGGATGGTCCAATATTTTGTTGGATCAGCACAGAATGTACTTCAATAATATGTTGTGTCCATGACGATGTTACACAACACAATTATCAGATGAATTTACATATCAGTCCATGTGATCGACATCTTGAACTTGGAATAGAACAGTACAGATTTAACCAATCACTTCTAGATTTCAACTATGGTAAGATCTATCAAGCGTCTCGGTGGTTTTGTTGTAAAGTGTTCGCCTCCAGTACGGGAGGTCGAGGATACGAAATCCTGCCCGGTCAAAAACCTAAGAATTTAAAATTGACATTTGCTGCTTCATCGATAAGCACGCGGCATTAAGGAGAAGAAGCAAAGACTGCGTAGCTCGCTGTTAGAATAATGTGTCCGGTTAGGGTGACATTTTTTTCTGCGAACTGTTACCTTGTGAACGAGTAAGTAACAACATAGACAAAGCCGGTTCAGTGTGACGGTCAAGTACAAAGCAGGGTTAATATTCAGATCATATTAACATGTTCTCGTCCTGAATATGCATTTAATTAGCCGCTGGAAGTTAAACAGGCACCCATCATCATCATTTTGTAAAAGTTAATTTGACATAACCTAAAATAGTGGATACTTAAAACATAATCAGATTGTGATTGATTGTTACCTTCAGCTTTAAGCAAGTACTTTTATCGTATAAAAAGATTTTCAACACCAACAAAAAAAACCTGAAGGTTTACACTTATCTTCATATAAGGGCAAGTATTATTGAATATGTTTTCATACCATGGAGACTATTCTATCAGCAGTAAATCTCCCAGACCCCCAAGGGTATAATTTTGCCAAGATCAAAATCATTTTCATCAAACAAACAAAATTTACCAAATTCACCAAATTATCGTATATACTAGTCATATCATTTCTTTTTACCCAAAATGTTCATTTCACTATATGGAGAACTAAAAACACAAAATAATAATTGATTAACAACGAACAACTGCTAGTCCTAACGATTAAGAAGCCACTTCCCTCAGTTAACCAAGACTTCAGTCAGTAGGTGAAGCAAACTAAATGAACTTCATCAAAATCGCATTACAGGAAGAACTAGCTGTTTTCGTTGATAAAGGTGTACATGTTGATCAACAATTATTTTCAAAAACAACTATATTTTGGCATTTTGGGATGTATATATAGATTCTACAACTCCACTCGTGACAGTTACATTTTCCAGTTTATATCGCGAGGCTCGCCGAGCGTTTTAAATATTTAAAATTTAACTGTCGAGAGTGGATAAATATCGTATTACACAAGATTTGGTGATGGAATCTGTTTCTCTAATGATTTTTAAACGATATGCAGACAAACTCAATCCTTCTTTTCGCATGATCTGCAAAAAAATGTGTTCTTTCTACGTGACGTCATCAGACAAGGTCGCCTTTTTTCATGACGTCACAATAGAAAATTCAGAGAAAAACAAGAAAATTTGCCGTCATAATCGAATTTTGACCATGAACAAATGAGATCAAACTAACCACACGTTGATTAGATAAAGATAATCAACAAGTCAGGAAAAAAATAAATCGTGTAAGAATTAGAGAAAGGATATAGCCACATTAATACAGTATTGATAATTGTTTGGTTTGATAAGGTGTAGGATTTCAAATTAAATAAATAGTTAAACATTTATAATTGAGTTTTTTTTTAGGCAAACAGCTATTTTTATTGTATTTTTAGATAAGAACATTGGCACTGAAGAAGACCATTTGTTTTCCAAAATATTTGTTTATTAAATTTTAATATCTTGTTCGTATATTACTATCGTATATCAGTATCGTCGCTCAAATCATTAGACTTGATATACATATAAATGAATATATATATCAAGTCTTATATATATGTTTGTGTGTTTTTATAACCAAAGTTACTAAAATCATTTGTCATACTGTTGAACAGTCATTCATATTTGAAGTTTGTTTGTTGATATTTCATACAAAACATTTTGTGTTACAGGTTATACATATGCTGTACACTTGGGAGGAATTTTCAAAATTAGGTAACAACACAATTTATCAGCTAAATTAGAATAGGGAATATCATTATATTGGTTGCAATGATATACCGTGATTTCACGGTAAAACAAAAACCGATGATTCCACTCGTCTGATGTCATACAACTATTATTATTGTTAAGACAATTGTCGATGATTTATCAAAACGAATTGTTAATGTGTAGTAAAGACATAGTTCCTTGTATTTTATACTGTATTTCCATTGAAAATCCCATTACCAATAATATAAAAAGAATAACTAATGAAAGAATTCAATTATCAAAAAATAACTCATGACTGAAAAACAAGGAAAGTTAACTCATGCGCTACATGCATTCGTGAATTAATGTGTTGTCCGGTCGCTCGTTAGATATTTTTTTATATTTGAATTCTTATATTAGTTATTTTATAAGTAAAAACAAGGATATATATTTTTTCCCAAAAACAAAAGCAGCTTTTCGTAATCATTAAATATTATATATCTAATATAAGTGATATGTTTTCATCAATATTAGGATTTATGCAATAGCAGATGTATGTTTGTAATTAGACATCATTACTGGTAACAATTTTGAGCAAAGAAAATATTATATATATTGTTGACATGAAAAACTGACAACCAAAACGCATCGACTATCTCATTGTTGTAATAAATGATCTGAATCCGATAACGAACTGTACAAAGCAGTACATATGACATGACATCTTTTCATGTAATTTACAGTGTGGTTATTGATGACTTGGTTAAAACAGAAAGCTTTATAGTGAACATGAACATTAGTATTTGTTGGAGTTATAATGAAGAATGTGATTATAGTGTGAAGATATTAGATGATTTAGAATTGCCTAAATTTAGTTGTGATATGGCTAGGGATTATCAAACAAAAGGTAGGAATGTGAAAGGATACTTAATTGTTTGCAAAATATTACAGTTCATCAAATGTCCAAATGAAGGTTCATATACTCAAAGTTATACGTTGTTACAGTGTGTTAGATAGCTAGAAGTCTGTCCATTTCAGGAATATGATCATGAACAGCAACTCTTAATATTCTCGCTCCACATTTATTTATAGAAGTCGTTGCAATAAGTTCTAATCAACATTCAAATATTCGGAATGTTTTATTATTCGTAATAACAGGATCTGCTTACACTTCCGGAGCACTGGAGATCACCCCCAGTGTTGGTGGGGTTCGTGTTGCTTAGTCTTTAGGTTTCTATGTTGTGTCATCTGTACTATTATTTGTCTGTTTGTCTTTTTATTTTTGGCCATGGCGTTGTCACTTTGTTTTCGATCTATGAGTTTGACTGTCCCTCTGGTATCTTTCTGCCCTCTTTTCCAATATACATTTGTAGAGGTAACTATTCCCTTGCCGAACAACTTATCATAAGGCAAGAGTCTGTTGTCAATTGATGGATCATGTTGAGTAATGAAGGTCTACAGTAAAACAAAGTCAATTTTACCTTGATAAGTGATTAAAATTAGGAACATTAGTAACCTTGAAGATAATGTTTGAGGGAATTGAGATGTGTTTGATGGTTACATTCCTTTAAATGAATATTGTAGATAACTGCTTAAGTTGATGATAAGGGCTGTCTTGATTTCTATGTAAAATGTGAAGTATTTAGGACATGTTATATTTTTGTTTATAGTAATTTGATTAAGAATTAAATCTGTCTCTGGCGTGCCTATATTTACAATTATACATTTACTTCTCATTTCAAGTTATAGTAGAAGTTCAATTATAAGTTAATATTGAAATTAAAAGACCTACGAACAAAAAGGGGTGTTAAGATCCACGAGCCCGAAGGGCGAGAGGATTTTAATGCCCCTTTTTGTTTGAAGGACTTTTAATTTCAATATTAACTTATAATTGAACTTTTACTAACTTACAAACCATTTTAAAAAATCCCAAAATAGCATATTTGTTAATAAATACAAACACCTTCTGTCACTTTTGCGGGCGAGTCTATAATTTTATTATAATTGATTTGTCAGTGCTCTCTATATATAGCAATTAAAAGTGTTTACAATACAATACATATGTGATAATGAAATAAAGAATATATAAAAACGGACACAAACGTACAGAAATTATATTTTGTTAAGCTACTTCCTTAAGTAACTCATTTTGTTTTACGTTTATTAAAGATATAATGAAAAAACATGATGTAACTTATTATTTTGAAAAAAGCTACGTCTTTAAGATGTGAATATGTTATTGAAAAGTACTTTTTTTTATTTGCACCTAATATAAAAACCTATATCAGACCTCAATCCGTAATAAGTCTTCGAAAATTCACGTGATTTAGCGTGTGAATTTATATCGTGCTAGAAGATGCATTTTCGGCATTTATATTGATGGATCTCGGCGATGAAGATGTTTTTCTTACGCAAAATTAATTCTCTCAAGCCTTTGAAAACGAGGAATTGGTTGAATATTGATTTTTTTCGCACCATGAAAGTCTTGACTTTCTTAATTTGTCCGAGGAGGAGACTACTGTAGAAAAGAAAGATACAGATGCTTCCAACCATTCATCAAAACCAGGTACTTATTTGAGTCTGAAGTTTTGTATTTTAGTATTAATATATATAATCGAAACAGTGGCCTCGAATTCTCCTATCCCCGTAAATCTTCCATACAATTCTATTTTAGGGTCATTCATTAAGATATGCACAAATTGAGTTGATGCACATTCCCTGATGGGCACCGTTATTCAATATATAGACTTTCATTCAATCTGTTTACTATATTGGTCAAAATTCTGTCCTGAATGACCGCGGTAGATTTTTTTGGGCGAATATGGGATTGATTGATTGGTTTATTATTTTTTCCTTACGTTTCAAATACGGGATCAAGTACATATCATGGGTTATACAAAATTCCAGAACAAATAAAGAAACCCAGTCGATTCACTTACTGTCCATTTGTAAAGGGACATAACTCGTAAACAGTATAAGTGAAGCAACCAAAATTCAAGTTGATTAGTGTTTTGTTGTAATAAGCATTTTGGATAAGTTTCATAACATTTTGTTAAGGCAAACTAAAATTAGAGAACGGAAACCAATTTCAGGACGTACGGACGTACGGACGGACGGACAAGGGTTAAACTTCATGCCCCCTCCGCTACGGATGTCGAAAAATAGGCAGATCGATCATATTTTGACTTTATTAACAGACTACTTTTTTTTTAGCTGAGATAAACAATAATTTTACCTGGCGTAGCCGTGCGTTAAATGTATTTCGGTATTTCTCTTCGAAAAATAAAATGTGTAATGGAATTAAACGTCTGATTTGTAAACTTTTTCTTTTTTCTCCGGAATAGGCTATTGAAAAAATTAACTTATCTACTCTACATGTGGAACATTTTGTGAAAATATATTAAGAAGAGGAAATTCTTACCTTTCATACCTTTAGTTTAATTGATAAAAAATGACATGGACTAGTCCAGTGGCCAGTTTGGAGGTCATTTAAGTTACTGTGCACATTCATGCATTTGTTTTATTTTATCAATACACAGGTATGAAAAAAAAAATAAACCGTTTAAATGTAAACTAATAATAACTTAATCCAATCGAACCGCGTAAGATTCAATAACAATGACCGGTCCGAATCTGGAAAAGTAATAGGGGTAAACTGGGTAGGGAGAAAATGACAGATATTTTAAGTAAATGTTTTTTTAATAACGAATAAAAATTGTGTACCAAAAGTTTTGCTATAATTTCAAAAACATGTTGCATGTTCTATATTGATATAGTTTTCGGAACTTTCATTTGCGTATTTAAGGCAATAGAAAGTTTGGACGTCAAAAGTGTACATAATTATTGACTTTATACAGAAAATACGCCCTTTTGATAGATTTCATGTTTGACAAATAATACATGGATACAAAGAAAAATCATTTCTTAAAACACTGCAAAAAATAATTCTGATTGGTAATTGGTATTGTCATAAACTGCTTTGAAATGAACCGTGGTATAGCAAACATCGAATTCCCTCACAAAATGTTATCACGCACTATAGTGAGGTTACAAAACTTGATACTATGGACACTATATTCCAACTTGATACTATGGACACTATATTCCAACTTGATACTATGGACACTATATTCCAACTTGATACTATGGACACTATATTCCAACTTGATACTATGGACACTATATTCCAACTTGATACAGCTCTGAATTTGCATTGTTATTAAATATTTGACGCTTTATAGGTTTCTGACACAGTATAAATATGGTCAAGGAACTGAATTGGACTTTTACATATTATGGTCCAATATCCAAATCTAAATACACTGATAGATTCAGCATATCATAGAACCTCAAGATTTTGAATTGTTTGATGTGATCAAAAAAAAATTAATCTTGGACCCTTTGTATCTCAATGTGGCCCAATTTTATAACAGAGCCCAAAATATAAATACACAATTAGATTAAGCTTTTAAAAGAACCTCATATATATTCATTTTTTGTTGAAATCAAACAAAGCATAATTTGGGACCCCGATTTGAACCAACTTGAAACCTTGCCCCAAAATCAAAACTTTAAATACACCGCTGGGTTTGGCATATCAAAGAACCCCTTGAATTTAATTTTTGTTAAAATCAAACAAAATGTAGCTTTGGACCCTTTGCACTTTACCGTAGACCAATTTGAAAAACTGGTCCTAAAGTAAAAAAAAATCTAAATATACGGTTACATTCAGCTTATCAAACAACTCGTAGAATTAATTTTTTTCTAATAAGTTCAATTTTAGACCCGTTGGATTTTAGTGTGGTCCAATATGTTGACCGGTCCCGAAATTGAAAATCTTAAAAAACGGTTAGATTCGGTATTTCAAAGAACACCAATACTTCAATTACAATGTCTTAGGTTTCTTGGTTGGACTTAGGTTCAAATAAAATTGAGAATGGAAATGGGGAATGTGTCAAAGAGACAACAACCCGACCAAATAGCAGAAAACAGCCGAAGGCTACCAATGGGTCTTCAATACAGCGAGAAAATCCCGCACCCGGAAGCGTGCTCCAGCTGGCCCTTAAACAAAAATATGCACTAGTTCAGTGATAATAGACGTCAAAGTCTGATCGGATAAGAATAAAATACATTTCAAAATTAGAATTGGATGATTCTCCTGTAAACCTCAGTATACTGTTACGTATAAGTTTTGGGCGAAGACTAGTCATTTTATATTCAGTTTAAAATATCTGTATTCAGTAAATTATATCATTGCGGTCTTTGAACGTGTAAGTTTATAATTTTTATACGCCCGTAAAATTTTTGACGGGACGTATTATGGTATACAAATGTCCGGCGTCCGTCCGTCTGTCTTTCCGTCTGTCTGTCCGTCTGTCTGTCTGTCCGTCTGTCTGTCCGTCGTAAACATGTCACACCGTAACTTGAGAATGACTTATCCAAATTTCATGAAACTTAACATAGTTGTTTCTTATGATGGTCAAACGATCTGTATACTTTTTGGTGAAAATAAGATTAAAACTTTTTGAGTTACGGGACTTAGTAACTAAAACAGGAGTGTGTTTTTTTTTCACATGTCGCGCCGTATCTCAAAAACAAATTATGATTATTGCTTAAAACTTTACACACTTCTTAGTTATATTAATCTTAAGATCTGTATACTTTTTGGTGATGATTCAAAATTTTATTTTAGAGATATTGAGTATTTTGTTAAAAAAGGGGGAGGGATTTTTCACATGTCGCGCCATATCTCAAAAACAGTTTATGATTATTGCTTAAAACTTTACACACTTCTTAGTTATATTAACCTTGAGATCTGTATATTTTTTGGTGATGATTCAAAATTTTATTTTTGAGTTCTTGAGTATTTTGTAAAAAAAAGGGGGAGGGGTTTTTCACATGTCGCGCCGTATCTCAAAAACGATATATGATTATTGCTTAAAATTTTACACACTTCTTAGTTATATTAATCTTAAGATCTGTATACTTTTTGGTTTTGATTCAAAATTTTATTTTTGAGATATTGATTTTTTTTTTTTAAAGGCGG